CTACAAAAAATTTCCCTTGTTATTTTGCACAGAACCATTATGCACTAGCAGCATATGTGAGCATAATGCGGCATAATATGATACCGTTTAGCATAAAAATAGCATAATTCTGCAATTTTTTCAGCAATGCGAAAAGCATAATAATTATTTCACGAAAATATTAGCATAATCCGTCAAGGCCTACCACCAATGCCCACCATACGGTGTATACATGTACCCTTGCTGTACAGTTTAAAAAAAGTGTCACCTGACTTGATTTGCCTCGTGATGCCTACGTACATGTGTGGTCTGATTCTTTTACGTCTTACTTTCTGTATGTGGATGTGTGCAGACACATGAGAACATAGTACGGAGGATTAGCAAGACGAAATTCGCGTTCGCGTTCGCAAACATTTTTCAGTTCGCGAACTGGATTGCGAACTTTCGCATTTTTCGTTCCGAAAAGTACATGTAGTCGGAACACGAATCGCGGATTCGTGTCAGGGCAGTCATAAATTTACCACGCTGTACTGTCTGTACACAATGTACGTCGTGTCAACGTCATGCATGTGCGAGTTCTGTTTGCTAATCCTTCTCATAACGCGAATTCCGTCACTGAGTTCGACTTTCCTTGGAGAGCGAACGCGAACGCGAATTTCGTCTTGCTAATCCTCCGTAGTGTGAGCGTTTTGTGTGTGTATACGTGTGCGTGCGTGGTGGATGTTACTGTGCGTATGCTATTATGGAACACGGTACAAGCACTCGCGAATACCTATCCCGATTTTGACAACTGGGCTGTCGGCCGATGAATCCAACATGCCAACTTACACACTTTTGCAATGTGGCTTTAGAAACTAGGACAGATGTTGAAGAGGACAAGATGACAAAGTACACCATGTACATCAATGATAAAACACATTGTTGTAGTTACGGCTACAACAACGTGGTAGGGGAACAGCAGTTGTCGCCAGCACGATTGTCTTATTCATAAAGCCAACACCACACATACATTTACTGGAATTCTCATCTCAGACCAGAGTATCGACTGTCCGCTCATTGACATACACTGATGATACAGTACTGGGTGTAGGTGTGCACCACGTGACGTTCATACGTGATGAAGCGTCGGGCCCGGAGCCTCTACGGCTCTAGCTCAAGATGTCTAGTAGACTGCAACATCATGTACATGTACGTCTAAAAGAGAGGTCTCCTACTCCGTACACGTGAGACAAAATAAATTCATCATGCCATTTTTATAATACTAGTAAAATCCTGTACATTATATGGACCGCAGCGGACTGATGAATGTTCCGGCGCGATTTGGTGTTACGCAAGATACTGCCTTCCCGTTGCTGAATCACAGGCCTGTTGAGATGTCATTACACACTGCCAAAGTATCAGTGAATGGTGCTTGTATTCGGCCTACATACTAGTAATGATGTAGCATGACGTAATAGCAAAGGACAGAGGCAGCATGCTTAGGTTCTGCGAAAGTGCTCAAAACCTGATTCAGGCAGAGCGGCATACACAAAGGCACACAGTAAATTCCGTTGTGCGTGTGTGTGTGTGTGTCAACGGAATTTGCCCCAAGGTTTTCATTGTGCGGAATAGCAAAGGAGTCATCTCCCCACAACCAGTCTTTGGGGCATTTTTGTACGTATTGCAAGTGCATTCATGAACTCGAGGTGTAAAAACATGAGTAGATACATGATTGTACATTGTACCTGAGGCTATTACTTTATGTTTAATGATGTGGATAGATGTCAGGAGACGTATATGCCATTCAGTATTGTTCCCTATATTGAATGGTGGCCAAACCCATTACATAACTGCAAAGTATGTCGAAAGAGGGTGATGTTACATGTGTCTTTAGAAGTATGGACTCGGATGGAGAGCCAAGGATTAACTTACAGCAAAAACAAAAGACCAAGGAACTACATGTTACCGTTACGCTATAATGTCCACCAACACCACCAGTTACTTGACAATCAGCTCATGCGTTAACATTGCACGACACGGACCGGCGGTACGGGTACTGACCTTCAACAACTACCTGCCAATCCGCTCTAGCACGTCTTGGATGCGCACTCCAACAGCCACCCAAATTGGAAGGTTCTAAGTTATAGTAATAACAAAAGGAGGGGAAGGTGCGTGCAATGAAGACAAGCACAAGCTGAAAGTCTCATCTGAGAAGGACTTTGACGGATGTACATGCATGGCAATGACGATAAAAAAATATAAAAAATAAATTATCGTGTCCGTTCCCGAAGGGAACTCACGACGGCCGCTAACACCCGGTAAACCCTAGCAAGATACTGGCAAGACAATTGGACAATACGGTCAAACCACGATTCAAGGACGCAACACACCTCACAACTGTGCGAAGTGTTAACGTGTGACCTTGGTGCAAAGAGTTCACCATTGCTTCCTATGCACGTCACAAGGACAGTAGAGGCGAACCGTATCTTCACAGTTGTACTGTGTGAGAAAAGGCATTGACTTCTGATGGTGTGGTGAGTGCAGGAACATATCTACAGAACGCCGAATACCTTGAACCCCTAGTTCGCAGCTGTGCTCATCAATAGTAACATGGCAGAACAATGAGACTCCATAGTGAAGTCAGAAAACATCCCTACCATGTACCTACATGTATGTGTGTTGGAGATGAACTTCCAACTGATGGCATCCAAGCTGTTGAAGGACGACAACCTCTTCCCAGGCAAAACACGCCACGATGTCGTAATACATACATGTACATGGAATAGTAAGGCTATAACTCCTCCATCAACTAAGAGTTGTTGTTGTTGTTGACTCGCGATTCGAGGCACATTTTAATGGCTATTGTTTTCCATACGATCTTTTGTGCTCTTCCTCGACTTCAGCTTCCATTTCGCTGCCTACACGAATCTGCCAGGTTGTGTTTTCATCATTTTTTTTCCATTCCCATGCTTGATGATAATAATTAGCATGGCGACGGCAGATTCTTGGCCTTGTCTATTTCCACCATGTATTCTCCCAATACCCCTCCTTGTTGTCTCACTTCCAGCTACCCTCTTCCCAAAGCAGTCGTCACCCTTCATCCATAATTCTTCCTAAAGCTGGCACCTTCTTTCGTAAATCAACCCTTTTTTCTTTGAGTGTTGCCTGGAATAAACTTCCTGAAGATATTCGTTCACTCTCTACAACAGCGAAATTTAGTATTGCTGTTCGTCGGTATCATTCGCAATCTATGTTTTCTTTGAAAGGTATTCCTGACTTTTGTGTCTAGGCTAACCACATCTATGATAGTTTCAATAGTTTGTGTATATGTCAGTTATAGTAGTCCGCAATGCTGCTTTTCTAATTCTCATTATGATTAGCATGCAATGTACTACCCGAAGTACTGAATTTACTTCTTCTGCACTCTATATTCTAATGTATCTTCTACCTCTTCTCCCTTACGAACATACTTTCTCATTTTCCATACTTATATAGGAGACTCCCTTCGATAGGCATCTATTTGCCTCTGGAGGATCCGTGAAATAAAAATCAATCAATCAAAATCAATCAATCAATTATTCCCTCACAGGACCAGCGACCAACTACCCATGGTCAATCCTCAGATTTGTTACGTATGCCCTTTCTCCCAGCACTATCCGGCCGACGTGAATTCATTTTTACTGCAGCTCTCTATTGAATTCTCTGTCGCAAATCAGAATGGCCCAGTCTATAGGTGTTTGTTACAAGTGCAACTTCTCTTTCGTTGGTAAATCTTTGTGACCTGCACAATTGGCTTGATTTCCTTGCTCTATTCTGTGCCTCAACAGTTGGCTTGTTTTTCTCACTCCTTGAAAGAGGATGCACAACAAAACCAATCCATGTCAGTCACAAAATATACCCATTTCATGCATGTATGAATACATGTGCATGTAAATGACTTTGGAAACGCCTTTTAAGTTGTTCTACACTAACTCATGCTAATTCATTCTCAGAACCTCTGTAGTGTTTTCATCATTCTCCAAGAGCCAGACATGAAACTGTTCCTAAGCCAAGCTATATGTAGTTACAATACTGTCTAATCACGAACGTACAGAGTAGTGACTCAGGTGGAGTGATAACAGAGAACACACCAATGCTGACCTTCAGGATTGTTGTTTTCTTTTCTTGGTTGATATAAGGAGGCAGGATGTATGTAGACGGTAAACGCAGCGTAGCTTCCGGGTTATTGCCAGCACTGGATCCTCTCCCTTTGGCTTGGATGCACTTCAAAGAAATGGACATTACAGATGTAGATCTGTGTGTGCCCATCCCAAGGTGACAACCTTCTAGTTCCACGTCTATTGGTCTGCAGACTACAGGCAGACATTGTCGACTTGTACTCATACTCCACTCTGCTATGAGAACCGGTTAATACTGTAGTAGACGTACGCATGCTTGTCCGTTGGCAGTCTGCTTGTCAAACTCTGGTATGCGTGAGCTAAGAATAATGACATTGGTCATGACGTAGACAGTAGTGGCCATGCGAATCCCACGGATTCGCGCACGGAGTGATGTGCCCAAACTCACTTCGTGCTCTTTGTTTTCCCAGCCGACGGCGCCGAATCATCTGTCCCAGCCTTTCGTAGGTTCCTCATCCATGCATGATTGTGTGTCCTTGTAAGCGAGTGAGTGGCATGCCATCAGCTGGTCTGTGCGGATCGTGCGCGGCGTGTTCCCGTCGTGACGGGGTCGCGCCAGACCTTGACATGCTCAGCAGCTTCCAAGGAAGTCGTATCCGCGCGTCCCACGCTTTGCATGCAGCGCTCACTCGATGACGACCACCAGTCACTGTCCACCTTGCACTGGCTAGCATGAGTCGATGCATCGCGGGTAGGCTGGCTCTAGACGGTCTGAAGTCACGGACTTCATCAGCGTGATCATGCGCTACATGTGCTAGCCATACAGACCGTCTTCAGTCTCTGCGGCTGCAAAACCAGTGGCATAAACTACATTCAACCTGCCAGAGCTTATTCATCACGCACTTAATGACAAGCTTGCTACTCCCTTGCCGGTAAAAATTTCCCATTGCTTGCCTAGACAGCCTCAGAGACTAGAGTAATCCGAGTTCTGGCAGCGGAGGATTTCTCACCCCCGCATATCGGACAGGAATTCACCAGTGCCTTCCCTAGTGCCTTCCCACAAAGCATAACACCTCAAAGGTGAGAGCTACGGATAGAGCGTGTTCGCTTCACCAGTTTTCCTTTGCGGGTCGTTGTATCGGACTTGGCGAAGTAGTGTGTGATATTGTATCCATGAGGGAGGTGAAGAGGGCTGTCTCCGCGCTACCTATGCGCGAAATGTAATCAGAAGTTCCTACGGAGATTTACATGCTGGCACCCGACGCCGTTGCAGATCATTTGTTGGTTGATTATCCTATACTATAGCCTAGTCTTGCTGGTCGAGTCCTTCAATAGGACAGGGCCAGGATGAATCGACAGACCTCTCGGACTCGCATCTGCACAGCGACCGAGGTCAACAGTAGACTTGAAAGTTCGAGGGAGAATTGCGCCTAAGCTTCGGCGGAGCGATCCTGGATCCAGACGGCCAACCATCGAATCGTCCTGCAGCCACGGGGCGCGCGGCCGGTGGACGTGCAACAGCACAAATGCCAATGCCTCCGCTAGCCCCGGCCACGCTTGGATCGGCCAGGCCGCCAAGTCCTCTGCCGCGTGCTGTAGCCGAGATTGCGCCCGAGGAGGCGAACTTCAAGCATGAGAAGCGCGTCGGCAACTATTGGATAGGGCGGCGCTTGGGGGAAGGCGCGTTTGCCAAGGTCAAGGAAGGCATGCACATTCCCACAGGTGAAAAGGTATGTTTGCCTTCGTTTCTCCACTATGATGCATTTCGTATAGTAAGGACGAAGAATCACATACTATCACCTGAGATGCACTGAGACAGCGCTTTGTCATTGATTAGAAGAGATTGTGCATGTGACCAATTGCGAGCCATTGATATTGCCACGGTGCTGACATGACTTGCAAAATACATACTCACGCTGAAACATAGGTAATTGATGATCCATAGTGTGGTTAGAAAACACATCACTTGCCAACCATCACTGCATTCAGTTTCTCCAGCTACGGAGGTGAGCAACCACTTTAGGTGGTAATGCCTCCACGGAGTGTCATCCAAGAATAACTTACAAACAGTTGCAAGAGTCATGTCTTGTCTGTTCGAAAACCTGGGTAGAAACTCCTGACACTGTAGTGTGACTGCAAGGAAGCAGTAACTGCTACATCAAGTTGCTACATCTTGCTTTTCAGCTTGAAAGGCTCACACCAGAACATTTAAGTTTCAAATTTGGAGGTTCACGCTGAATGCTCTTGAAATTGGCATATCCACTGAATGAGGTGAGGATGCTAGTCAACATTTCCTGCCGCTTCATTCACTGTCATAGGAGTGAGAAGATCTAATTATTGCTATTATCTCTACTTTCCATACACCCTCAGGTTGCCGTGAAAATCATCGACAAGAAGAAGGCTAGGGCTGACAAGTATGTCTCGCTGAACATGCGCCGCGAGGCCAAGCTTATGACCATGCTGTGCCATTCGAACATCCTGAGACTGCTGGACGAGGTAGAAACGGCCAACAGCTACTACCTGGTGACGGAGATGGCTGAAGGCGGCGACCTCATGGATCACATCTACAAGAACACCCACCTGCCAGAGGACGAGGTGCGCGTGTACATCCGTCAGATAGTCTCGGCCATTGATCACATTCATAAAGCAGGCATCATTCACAGGTAGGGAAATGAAATACCTAGCTAAGTGTGCATGTACTAAATGACTAATACCGGTATGTTTACACGCCCTTTGGGTTATTGTTGTTGACGTGTCACTTGAATCTCGACACGATGCATTGTGATCAACTCATGAAAACCTGAAACAAATCTGTCACGTATCATGGGAAGCTGGTATGGGTTACTTTGATTCAGATTCTCTGATTCTTTTTGTATCCATTTTCTCTGGTCATTCCTACAGAGACCTGAAGATTGAAAATCTCCTACTGGATGGAAATCGCAATATCAAAATTATTGGTAGGTGCAAGCTGAGGCCAGTTTGTAGGCTATAACTCTTTCCCTGTCTGTGTTCTCTTTTCTATTGTGTATATGGATCTACAGATCAACACTGTCCCCACCAGATTGGTAGAGGTCCCTCTGCTGATATGCATGGCATGTCACCTCAGTTTGACCATTACACTGACTGTGCAAGCATTCCTTTAAACTGCTTCCGATTCCATTGCCGGTTTTTTGCAACGCGTCCACCCATTTCGCGAGTTCCGTGCTCTTGGTAATATTCCACTGCTTTCGGTTGTGTTCTCGTACTTTTCCTTTATAGATTTTGGCCTCAGCAACACCATTCTACCACTAACACCATCAGTACCTCGGGAGAACCACTGCAAAACTCAGTGTGGCTCACCAGCCTATGCAGCACCAGAGCTGCTGGGACGCGAAGAGTACGGCATTGAGGTGGACATCTGGAGCATGTAAGTCTGGCTACCCTGGTCATTACACACCCCTGTAAGTGTATGCTGTTCCGATGCTAAATACTAGTACCTCATGTAGACAACATGTATGTCTATGGAATACAATCCCTCTAGCTATACCGTGATTAGGATAGGCTATTAGCAGAAATTACGTGTGATTTAAGTTGACAGCATAGAAAGCAATTGCTTCATGGCTAGATTGACCCGCCATGTGACTGGTGATGATGATTGTTATTACAGTACACACACGTTGACAGCATAGAAAGCAATTGCTTCATGGCTAGATTGACCCGCCATGTGACTGGTGATGATGATTGTTATTACAGTACACACACAGCCACTGGAGCCACAAATACAATGCAGAGTATACTTTCCATCACCATGAACTATGACTTCCCTCCATTTATATTCCATACCTATGTAGTGGTCTCACCCCCCCCCCCCCACCCCCACCCCCACCCCCTCCCCGGCTTCCTGATTTTCCACATGGTAAGCACCAAAAAAATACAAGATTATTGAACAAACCCTTACCGGATAGAATGGACTTGTGTCTCATGCCACTACCTGCAGCGGAGTCAACCTGTTTGCCATGCTCACGGGTACATTGCCATTCACCGTCGACCCGTTCAGTATCACGGAGCTGCACGCCAAGATGCTGAGCCGACGTATGAATCCCATGCCGGCCGGTGTCAAGGTTTCCGCAGGTACGTGCCTTCTCTGTCCAAAGTATGCGATTTTCAGGACTTCGTAGCCTGTTCATAAACTCAGTATGAAGCGGTTGGACAAGTTCAGGTAGAAGCCAAATGCCAATCTATTCGCTGCATTTACGTAATAGTATGTAAACAATGTTTAAAGCCTGTGTGTCAGGAATGCACATAGCCACATCGGTCTAACTATTTCCTTTTGTCTGGTTTTGCGTACATTTTGCTTGCAGAATGTATGGATCTTCTAAATCAGCTGCTGAACCCAAGCAGATTGAAGCGCATCAAGTCGGAAGAGATATTCCGGCATCCTTGGCTGAACAACGATCTCACAATGCCATTTGAGCCAATGCCCTTCCCGAACACACCGTCTCCCGATAACCTTGAAGACAGAGTCATAGCCCACATGACCACGAGGATGCAAGTGAGACTGATGGACATCACGTCGGATGTTGTCGAGAACAGACCCTCGGCACAGGCTACCACCTACCATCTGCTGGCGAAGCGGCTGGCGCGCTACAACAAGGATCACCCGGAGGCTCAGCGAAAGAAGAAGGCGTCCGGCCTGATGAAGCGCCGCAGCATGCTGTCGCAAGACTCGGCTGACAGGAGCACGGTGCCTGTGATCGGTGAAGATGAGCTTCTAGACTTTGTCAATGGACATGATCTGGGAGATGAGCGGCAAGGCAGACCTCCACCTATAGACAAGGTAAACTTTAGTGTGATTGAGTGCCGATTTTCTGAATTTTCAGGAGAACATAATGTCTCCATTGTTCTCACAGCCTAGGCATGGATGTACTTCGAAGTAGATGTGGGAGGAATATCACCTCTGTGTGCAGAGTGAGTAAGGATTAACCCTTTTCAAAATGGTGGGGATACCAATGTCTTAGTATGTACTAAGTAACACATTGCAGAACTGGGTCCTGCAACCATCTCTCTGATAACATGACTAAGTTGTGCCGTGTATTTCTTCCTGTTCTGTCACAGGTCGAAGCAGCCAGTAGCTTCGCTTATACCGGCAAGCCTTCAAAGCGACGCAACACTGTGTCAAGCGACGAGATATCGCCAACCAGCATCAACTCATCGGAACTCTCGCCACCGCAGAGTACAGTGCAGCATGCACCACCATTCTCCGCAGTGACACCTGAAGAGGACGACGTGATGCGCCCTATTCGGCGCGTGGAGAGCTTCAAGAACAAGGCCCGGGAGATGACCCGGGGAGAGATAACGAGACCTCTGAAGAAGTCCGTGAGCACACCGAAAGGTGTTGGCCAGTTCACAGTGAGAAGTCGCCATCAATCGGTCAGCGGCTCGCTTACCTCGCCAGCACCGGAATCATCATCTATAACGCCTGACGGCCTGCATGGCAGAGGAACACCATCACCCACAGCTCTCAAAAAGGGAGTTGAGCATGCGTTTAACGCAGCCAGGGAGAAAAGCGCTCCCGGTGTTTGGCTTCCTCCAACAATCGATTCCAGCCGCACCATGACTTCTGCAACTAGTAAACGGAACAGCATGAGCAAACTCAGTGAGCATTTATCCCAAGACCAGGGCCACTCAAAGGGAATTCTTCCATCCTCTTTCAGCAGAGCAATGAACGACGTTCGCTCAAACCCCGGCAACAGAACCAAAACAGACTCGCGACCAAGCAACTTACCCCTGGGTCATCCTAAAGGTGTCAAGAAGAATACATTCTTCCAAGACACTCCGCCGCAGGAGAAGACAGGCCATTTCCAGCAGGAGGATGACATGGCGAGTCGCAGGAACTCCATTGTCGAGGAACTCGGAAGCATGCAAGATCATCTACCTGCAATCAACCCACGCGGCTCCATCTCCGCCGGAAAGAGACCGCTGAGCAAGAACAAATCGTTCACCTCTACGCAGGGATCGCGGCCTCACACAACCGGAACACCCGCAATACCCAGCCTGAAGCCAGTGACACCAGCTAGCGGTGTTCCCGTGAAATTCTTCACCATCGAAAAGCTAGAAGGACTGCCCAAGTCGTACGCACTGCGTCAGATCATGCACACACTGAGCGGCATTCGTGATATCGAGGCGGTCGCACTAAATGACGTGAGCGTAAAGTGCACATGGTGCGACGTCATTCTCGACATATCACTTCCAGAGGATTTCAGCGAGAACAGCAAGCTGCGGTTCGAGCGGATCGGAAGCGGCGGCAACCGCCTGCGCTACAACGAGATTTGCGAGCAGATTGCGCATGCGCTGGCAGTCGGAGTATGAGTTATACTGACAAGACATTACCCGCCTGTGTCCGTTGATAAAACAAGTAACAGTATGTTGAGTACCCGCGGCAAGTTACTCAAAGTACAACCATTGAAAGTACTGGACGTCGAGCATACCAGTGACAATCCGAAGTAACTATCACACAATTTCTTGAGTTATCCTGGACTTGTAAAATAACCACTTTTGTCAATGAGGAATGTTCGGAAGATGAAGTCTTGTTACTGGAGCATTAAAATACCTCATAGTCTATGATCACTAGTGCGGTATTAAGGTTTATTATATAGTTGAAGTGCATATGCTAAATTATCTTGACGCCTGTTGACCTTTTGCACGTATTTTAATGATACTCTGTATCAGGCATGTCTTATTGATGTTATTTATAATTTCCGTTAGCTCACTCATCTGTCTAATTCGAATTCTTCTCAAAAGTCATTATCCAACTTCTAGTTTGTGAGTATCTTCACATCCAATTTTGGGATCTTGACAGTCAAAACTCTGCAGTAAATATTAGAATCTGATAGTTTGTCCCTGGACGTTTGTCGTTTACATCTTGTCGTTGTCAAGGTGATTTTCTAGGGTGATTTTGTCAAATGTTAGTGGGTCTGATTCCCCGAGTATTTGGACCTCCGAGTTTGGGTGCTTTAGCGTTTCTTGTTTGCACACTGCACTGCTTGGGCAACACATAATCTTAGTACATGTACCTGTGAATAGACAGTAGGTTGTTTAAGTAGTTCCTCAGGCTGCTTACAGTGCTCAATGTCCAGTGAACAGAGCCAGAAATACAAAGATTACACAGCAATGAAGCAAACAAATCTCTTTCCGCTGTTACTCGGAGTTTCGTGTGAAAACACTCATCAGACAGCATGCGACCAATTAGACTAACAATCACTAGAATATACACGGAGGAAAAACCAGTAAATATGTAGTTTATAGTTATACTACAGTCCTGGTCAAGTAGTGCTTATGTACATGTAACACACTACTGGGTGACCGTATTCAGGACTTCAGCCTTAGTTCAGGTACTACATCATACATATACAATGATGTAGGTGCACAGGGTGGTGTTAGTGTGTGTGCTGTATTCACGGCACGAGGTTGCACTGCATTACTGTATCACTGCATTACTATTGTTACTGTATAGTCAAGTAATTGTGTGCTTCACTGTCCGAAGAGTGTTCAATAGTAGACAATACCCATGTAGGGCTGGCTGCCCGTTTTGGATCCATCAGTTGCCCGATAAATCGTAGTAATACGTGAAACTCAGACGAGTCAGAGTTGTAACAAAGCTTCCTATCTCTCTCTTGTGTACATTACTGTATACATTTTCATTACACTGCACATGTAGAGCGCGTTGCTGTGCATTCTGCTGGTGTCAGTATTATAGTACAGTCATGTATATTACAATTTTTTTTTCGAATATTCCTTGCATCACTACTAGTACTAGTCAGTAGTCTGTACATGTGCTAGTATGTTCTTGATACGATTGCGTTGCAGCAGACTACTAGTAGAAGTTGTAGTATGTTGTGGGACACGCAGACACTGTCACAGCAAGGATGATGTTGTACATCATAGATTAGTACACGTAGTATTATCTGGTGGCATTACAATACTGACTTCATTCATGATGAACAAACATCCTAACACATTTTGTCGTAGATCTAGCTACGTGTACTCAGCAATATGATAACCAGGGAGTCGTATACTGGTATACCCTTCACATCTCCCTGGTGGTAACCTAAGAATAAGATACTATTGGAAATCGACATGACTGACTGTACTAGTGTAGATCTACAGTCGCACACTACAGTCATGTACATTCAGCTGGCAACTGAAATCCGACCCCCTGAGCGGTGGTGGCTGAAGTGGCTACGGTATCCGGTCCTGAGGCAGTTGTGTTCGGTGTCCAAGGCCGGTTTTTGACATGACTGTACTAAGTATATCGTAGTTGTACATTTGGAAGTACAATTGTTATTATTTACACAAGTCATTAGACTGTATATTTACAGCCATTTTATGACATAAAAAATAAAATAAACCCCTGACAGGCCTGAGCGGTGCGCTCACATACATGTAGCAAAGAATGTGAACCCACCGCACAGGGGATCGGATTTCAGTTGCCAGCACTGTACAGTCATGTGCATGTACATCAGGTACATGTAGTAGGTCTAGCACTTCATTATCATGAAAATATCAAGGGACCCGGAGTCCCGGACTCCCGGAGGCGTTCTGGGCTGTATGTGTGAATCAAGATGACATGACTCATGAGCTTAGTGGCCGACGCGTCACGTGATGGTATATGCGGCAAGACAGTCGCGAGAGGTGTGATTAGGGATGAAGATTTTGTAGCTCGCGCCCTTGCTCGCCTTCAAACTTTGTTACTTCCACACAAATAGGACCAGGCAGTAGTAGATCTTCAGTGTTCTGTTTTAGAGTTTGAACTGGATCGTAACAAGAATAAACCGGTATCTTGACGCGGAGATTGAACACAGCCATTGTGGTTCGCTATGGCGAAGTACATGGTCGCGGAGGCGGCCGCTGTGTGCGTATTCTTAGTCGTTGCGCTCCTAGCTATCGACGTGTCTCAAGCGCAGGAACCTGCTTCGAATGGCTCCCATATCAACATTTGGATTGTTACACATACCCACGATGACGTTGGCTGGTGAGAGAATGAAAATTCCTTCCTTCCAGAAAACGATTGTAGAATTATTCCTGTTGGTGGGCCCATTTTGTGTTGGCCAAGCCTGACGGGCGGACTTCAATATGTTTCAATGAGTTTGGCTTTCGGACAGATGCACCAATTACTAGTACATAGGAGAGGAGCAGGGCTCATTGTCCGGCTATCCGCCAATAAGTGTTACCCGTTTTTCCTCATGATGGTTTCAATGACCGAAGCCGTGAAATCCTTCTGAAGGATTCGGTATGAAAAGCAGTGCAGCTGATTCACTAAAGTTTTAGTGTAGGCCGCCAGTACATTGTAGCCGAAAGCCAATTTTTGTCAATGTGTCACCTCCAGCAAAATTTCCCATACATTCCGTTGCATCACTCTTGAAAGAGTTTTCCCTCTGCTTTCTTAGGCCATGACATGGCCGCAGCTCTGGGTCTGGCAGCTCCGGCCGTGGCCGGACCTTATCGGAAAAAAAGCTGACCCACCCAATTTGTACAAAACTGTTTTCGCCAATTATGTTTATTGCCGGTCAAGTATCCTATTTGGGCGGAACACCTCAGAAATACCGGTGCTACGGCCCTGCATGATAAAATTTGATATTGTTGGTTGATTCTCATTGAACTAGCTGCAAAGCTTGATTTATATTGCCATAGACTACAAGAGGAGGACTGGGTAGAGTCTTGGGGTGAAGATGTGTTACGCAGTCCTATCCTTGCTATTACTGCAGCAGGTGATAGCACCCGTTTCCCCGCATTCTTGACTGTTACGTGTACAGGCTACAAACAGTGGACCAGTACTACATCAGTGAGGTGCAGTGGATTCTGGACACGGCGGTGAGTTCTCTATAAAGACATGTATGTTGAGCGAGGCGTGCCAACCGACCCCCTTTCAAATGTCAATTTTTACAATGGAACGGGCAAAAAACCCAAAATCAGACAGATAAGATAGGTCATGCCATGTTAGTATATAGGTATTCGACCTGATAGTGATAGGCACACACAAAGATCCAGTGAAAAGCAAAACAAGATCTCCATCTCAGCTGGAGTTTCGTGCAGAAGCAATCGTCAGAAGATGGTTTTGCAGTTATGCCCTGCTGAAAGTGTTCTAACAGCACTGGGACCTGCAGTTGAGCCACCAACATCTTACAGGCGAAGGGGACTAGCTGAGACCATATTGTAGCTAGCAATGCTGATCTACGGGAAATCAAAAGGGAATTGGTTTCACCCTAGACTCGGATTTGGGAAGGGTCAAACGTTTAGCAATAATGTGTCAGAAGTGGACGGAGAACCCCCCCCCCCCCGAATTTACTTTGCAATGGATGTGTCCGGCCCTAACTGACACGGTGCAAGTTTCCTTGTCCAGTCTGAAAGTAGCACAGTGCTGCATTAACCCTTTGGAGTCCATGGTTCGATTTCGAACCATGCGCATTTTTTATGCATGTGGGCGCAGTCAAACTTTCGGTTCTCGGCCAAATCTTGACCAAATTCAACAATCGAAAGGTCTAAGCGGTAGAGAACACTCTCAGCTATCGTCTCGAACAGGTCCAAAGTCTCTCCGATAAAGGGTGAGTGAGCGGCGAGCGATCGAACATTTTGAATTTTCTGCGCTGCGTGCATGCTGCGAGTCAGTGCGTGAAAAAAGGGATTTTCCCAGCTTCAGGACAGGCGACACGTGCCAGGACCGGCGCGGCGCGAAGTCACGGCAAAGTAAGCTGCTACTCGAAAACATTTGAACAGTTCCGAGCTAGATTCAGTGAAATGGCTGCAGGAGACCGATTTCGTCTCAGATCTGGAGCTGGACTCGCGTTTGGAGTGCGTTGTGGCGGACAATGAGTACTGCTCTTGGCGAGTTTCGGCTTATTGTATTGCTCTCATCAAGAGCTTTCTAACGAGCCCAAGATCTTCAAAATCGGTGAAGTAGAACCAAAGGTATGTTGGAAATTGAGTGCGTATTTTCGTGACGGCCACAAATACTGAGGAAGCAAAAAAGTTATGGACTCCAAAGGGTTAACATTCAATTCCCAATACACTGTTGGTGTTCACAGGGCACACACACACACACACACATGCGCGCGCACACACACACATACACACGCACGCACACACACACACACACACACACGCACACACACACATGCGTGCGCTTACACACACACACACACACACACACACACACACACACACACACACACATACATTGGATCTTACCAGTATAGGTAGTGACAAAATATCTTCATTTCCCAGGGAGTTGCCATCACTGATCCAAAGGAACCTAGTCAAATTTCTAATCTACTGTGTCTCTTTTTGGCGGCTGCTTCATCCTCCTGCTGATGTTTACTTGAGCAGATGAGGTGCCTTATGGACAACCCCAACCGACGCTTCACGTAAGTTGCAATTCAGGTCTTACACCGACTATGGCGGGTAAAGCTTTTCAGGCTGCAACAAGTGGAGTGATTGCAAGGTAGTTTTTGTAACTTCAAAAAAATAATTTACACACCTGGATGTAGAATGGTTTGAAGACTCTGATGCAGCATCATATAATAGAGTATTCGTGGTAAAACATATCTGGTCAAATGGCGGTAAATACGCGCCTTCCCATACAGAGCTCTCTAGGCTCCAAAGTTCTGGCAAAAAGCGCTGATTTTCTCAGCAATACGCTTGCAGATGAGGGAGCTGCCAGTGCATTTATTGCTGCCATGTGTGTGTGTTTACCACCTAGATGTACTTGTAGGTATGAACTGACACACAATACTGCCATTCATGTCAGTATGATTCGTTAACATTTCTTGTGATGCTCTTTGACTGGGTTTCCATGGCTTTGACTGGGTTTCCATGGCTTTGACTGGGTTTCCATGGCAGTGGAGCAAACAAGGACTAACAATCTAATGTACAGCTCTGGCCAGAGAAATCCGACCTTATGAAAAAAATTGCACCACGCTGTGAAGAGTGCACAGTGGTGTGTGTGTGTGTGTGTGTGTGTGTGTGTGTGTGTGTGTGTGTGTGTGTGTGTGTGTGTGTGTGTGTTTGTGTGTTTGTGTGGTGCTGGGGCCGTGTAGCCTCAGGCACTATTCTAGTCATGAGGTCAGATTTCTCTGGCCAGGACTGCAGTATAGTAAGGTGAACATGCAATCTAGATACCAGCATTGCCGGAAACGTTCACGACAAAAGTAGTACTGGTAGCGCTGAACTCTTATTATGAATGAGAAAGTGAGAATGCGACTATGCTCTTCCCCTGGCTTTCTCACTTACTTTCCCACTACTTTACATTGTTGCATCTCTTTCTCTCTCTCTCTCTCTCACTCACTTTTCTCACTTGCGAGCATATTGTCCACACCGCCTTTGTTTCCAACAGAGTCAGCATTTTATCTATATTATAATATTGTTGTGCTACTGTGATGTTTATTCCACTGAGGATGTTGGTAAGAAGTGCTCTTCTATCATGTCAGCCTTTCCAGACAACTTTCTTTTTGATTACTCTACATGTATACAAATGGATATGAGTGCTGGTGGATTAACGTTGTCCAACGCTGCAAGGTCTGTACATGCTTTCCTGTTCACTGACTGTGTTGTGAACGCATGTAATGCATTGTGCTGTCCTGTGTGAACACAGGTATGTGGAGATTGCCTACTTCTATCGGTGGTGGAACGAGCAAAGTGTAAGTAGCGGCATCTGCGACAAGCACTGGATGATGCCTGTGCAGGCTCTTTGTGATCAGCGCTTCTGAGACGTGTTGAGTAGTGTAGATGTAGTAGCTGGCCCCGGGAGCACGCTCAACTATTGCTAAATACGCCTTCTTAGAAGCACTGATTAAAGAGCAAGTATGACCACATAGATGGGATCATGTGTGTCCGTGCCATCTTCTACCACTTTGAAGTCACTTGAAAAATATCTGGCTATTTCCACTGTTGACTGACATGATAATGAAGCACTTTTAAATATTCTCCCACCACTGTACATGTCCTGAGCAGTTAGCCATTGTTCTCCTGTCCCCTCGCCTGCATCCCAGTTCGAGACAGAGCAATGTACTAACCTAGCTAACAGTTAAATGTAGACCTGCATGACTCTTGCTCTCCTCTATTGGTCCCTCTTCTGATTTTCTTTTATACTGCTTTAGCCCGACATGCAACAGGCGGTTGTCAAACTGGCGAAAAGTGGCCAGTTGGAGTTCAACCTTGCTGGATGGTATGTCCTGAAGTACAATGTCATGTTCATGAACCTTTTGGCTGCTTTGATTTTTCTGTGATGGTAGGAAGCTGAATAGAATGCAAGTGTAGTGGAGTTTGTTTACCCATTCAACTCCCTCTTTTCCTCTGGTTACACATGTCTCCTATCATGAATACATCACTGTGCATCGTCTGCTGCGAAAGGATCCGCCTGTTTTCTTTTTTCCATGCGTCCCCTCTTTCTGGTGCTCTCTTGACATGCCCGGATGCTGATAACAGTGGTCAGTGGAGTGCCTCCAGACTCACCAACACGGCTCAGTGACTCTGCAGCATGCACCTTCCCATTTTTCTCTATTGTCCTTATCATGTTCTCTCGTTTTCCATTTCCCGGTGGTGCAGTGTCATTGATGTAAAAGAAAAGAAAAATAAGAAAGAAATCCCTGTTGAACTGAAGCTGTGCATGTTCCACTCCGGCAAGACATCATTCCAGCACAAAATAGTTAATGCATAGCTTCTGAAATGGAAGTGCACTAGTAATGCTTCAACAATCTGCCTACTGTAGTTCATGATTACTTACTCCAGACACCGAGACCGGTGCAGAATCCTGTCATTCTCTTTTCATTCTTGTGATATTTACAAAAGGTGTATGAATGATGAAGCAGCCACCAGCTTCTTCAGCGTGATCAATCAGATGTCTGAAGGTGCTCTTTTCCTTCACGATGCACTCGGCCCAGATATCTTCCCGAAGGTATGATCAACCCGTAGCATACATGTACGCCGTGAGCGCCATACCCACTCTCTATAATGCCCCGTCATTGGAGCTTTTTTTGTACAGACTGTACAGGCCCGTCGCACCGACTTTGGAGGTGGGGTGGCCATGGAAGGGGGGTGCGGGGGTTGTCCCCCGGGAAAAATTTCAAAAATTGAAGCCAATTGCAAGCATTTCCGGGCATTTTGTGCCATTTCAGTGTAACTACAACGAAAGACTTTTTGATTCTGCAACCCTTGAAACCAAGAAGACCCTACGATCGGGGACAAACATTACCCTCCCCCAGGAAAAAATTTCCAAAAATTGAAGCCAATTGCAAGCATTTCCAGGCATTTGGTGCCATTTCAGTGTAACTGCAACGAAAGATTTTTTGATCCTGCAACAAACCACCATCGGGGGACAAGGATCTGCCACGTTTGCGCTGAGATAGCTGTGATCATTGCGCTTTGTTGCAGTGTGCTAAAAAAAAACGCCGAAAAAAATGCTGTGACGGCCTTGCTGTATTCGTGCAATTTCTTGGTCGTTATCATGTCGGGACGTAGTCCTGTGCTGGAGTTTGTGTGCATGTAGTTATCCACTAAAAGCTGGAGCACAATGCGAAGTCGTGCAACTGTTGCTGATGTTATGGGTATTTTCTTTCGGCTTCCAGGTTGGCTGGCATGTGGATCCGTTCGGTCACAGCAGTGTGACACCGTCCCTGTGGGCTGATATGGGCTTCGATGCATTCGGCATCAACCGTATCGATTTCAGGGACAAGGACAGAAGGAAGGCGAACCGAGTAAGGCGGCTTGGCTTTCAATTTCTTCAGTCTAACTGTTGACATGTTAGGCTGCAATTCTCTAGCACTCATCCTGGGATGACATGCCTTGAAGTCCATGTACATTGTTAGTGTGCTGAAAAATGGTGAGGGCAGAAACTCAGAGTGACGATGACCTTCGCTGAAGACGCTAAGGGAGAGTGAAGCTAGAAACAGCACTTGGAAATGATGTTTAAGCATGTTTGACTGGTCTGGCCATGGTTGTGTGACAGAAAATGTATGTTAACATATCCGGCTTAGAACTCAGAGAGAACTATGCTCCTGGTAAGAACAGTCACGAAAGTCTAGTCCAGTTTTGTAAACTCGGTACTTTGTTCTCATTGTTGCATTGTATATGACCAGTGTGTAGTGGTGAACTTCATATAACTCGCATGCAATCCAGGCTGTCACACAACTTATGACACAGATCTGACTAGGAAATCTTTTTGTGATGTTGTCTTCAAAGGAACTAGAATTCATATGGCGGGGTTCGAAAAGTCTCGGAGAGGAAACGGAAATATTCACACACATCATGGATAGCCGTAAGTCGAATGCTGTTTACTTAAAGAGCCAAGATCATGAGCTGAGTCTCACATTAGCTAGTGCAGTCTGTGAATTCCTTGTGACATATTAATTTGTGCCTTCAATATTCTTTACCATGGCAGCAGACAAGTTTTCAGTCCATACTTGATGTACATGACAACATATTGCTACCAGGGTTTGGCTCTAACAAGCGCATGAGACTGGCTAGCTTCCTCCTTCAACAGTTCTGTTCCAAACAAGACCGGTAAATCTCTCTCTCCTCTCTCTCTCTCTCTCTCTCTCTCTCTCTCTCTCTCCTCTCTCTCTTTCTCTCTTTCTGCACGTCCGTCATGCTAGCATGATATTAGACCGCCTAGCTACTGTTCCTGTCTCTACATTTCCCAGCCCAGCTGAAACAAAAGAAGTTGAAGCATTATGGTTTTTGCTGTGTGCTGAATCTACTAGATTACTGCACCCCAGGAGAATGTGGCTATGACGGGCACCTTCAAATTCAGAACGACCCATTGCTACCAACATATCCTGTAAGTATGCATTGTGAGCTCCAGAACATGATTCAGGTAGTCAGCTAAGATGTGCAGGCTGTAGCCGAAGGCGGTGTGAACGTGTAACTACTCCATGATCATGTAGCTTCCGCCTAGTACCCGAATGTTCAGCCTATGCTCATTGGCTTCTCGCTCCACATATACTGGCATACACAGAGACATAGACAGCAATAGCGACAACACACAAAGTGAAGGGTAGATGGCCGCAGCCAGATGTGAACCGGATAACGAGTGAGGTATGGAAGCAAGCAAGGACTGAGAACAGAGTGTCTCAGATAGAATAGTCGTGCCAGTGGATAGCAGAAATAGGCCATGATGCAGAACCACTTGGGACCGTCAGATTAATTTTCCTGGACCGAGCCAGCCGGGAAAAAACCCTCGCGCCGACGGACGCATTTGTGAGGGAAAAAACGGGTGTATATCCCCAATGGCGATTAGGCATCATGTAGGCATGGCAAGCACATCACGGCAAACAGTGATAAAAAGCATTGATAATATGCACAGAAATAAAGGGTGGGAGGGCAGGGACACTGGTGAGACTCAAAACTGACTGAAGAAGTCAGGAAAAGAAGCGACAACAAAGAACACACCAGATGCCATATTTGCAACTGCAAATATATTTCGCGAGAAATCATTTCTCGCCTATCTCGCTGCGCTCGGCCGGCGAGAAATACAACATCTCTAGTGTGCAATACAGCCTACTTTTAGGGCCGTTGCACGTGGTAGAAAGCGATCAGTCACAAGAAGGAACAATGCCAATGTGTGGTCCACCACTCTGAAAAATTGCCAAACAAATACTGAAATGCCATTGCACTGCAGGTAATTTTGGTTGGACTAGTACAGGCATCTCATGTTCAATAAATTCTTTGGAGCTGGTTTTGAACAGGATTTCTAATCTCCTACCATGCGCTACCCATTCCATATCCAGGGGCTTGGCATTGAGCATATAGTCAGTCCTGTTTAGTCTTTATAACAAAACACAATCCAAAGCTTAGCCTGCACATATGTCAACAGCTGTGCATCAACCACACGACATGGCTACCCGAAAAGGTTGAGTGTTTGGTACAAGGGGACTAACTGGTTATATGCTAGTCCCTTACATGTACCAAGCTGGTTAGGACTGGTCCTTGATTAGAACAAAATTAATAGTCAATGTAGTTGGAATTAGCAAACTTTTTCTTCCAAGACGGTTGTGCTTCCAAGGTGAAAAGTCGTTTTGTTCTCCTGGCAAATGCCTCTTCCTTCTGCCAGCTCAATGCAGGAAGTCAAGCTGTGGCATTTGTCAACATGGCAAGAGCACGGTAAGATTTTCTAACGAGCATGGAAACTTCTTTTCAGAACTGATGGAAATGGGCAAGACCTTTTGTGAAGATATGGTCCAACCGCTGTTGCAGTTTGAGGGTGGCCATGCTTGCAAACAAATTAACTCATGTCTCCTCTGCTCCGCCTATTTTCCATATCCAGCAATCAGTGGTACCGGCACAATCATATCCTCATTCCGTTCGGCTGTGACTTTGGCCATCAGGTAAGGACTCTGTGCAACCGTTGCACCCTGCAGGCGACTTGAATAAACCAGGGTGAGTGTGGAATGCAGATGTTTGTGCATGTCCTAGTGCTTCAAAGGTCGACTTATATCCAGTACAGTGTGGAGCTTTGATCATATTTTGACTTTTGTTTCGTCTAACCGGCATGTTCATGTATGTATTCGACCATTCCCTCCATGTATCTTCTGGTGCAGAATGCCTTCAAGAGCTTTGATCAGATGGACAAACTCATTGATGCTGTTAATGGCAACCCAGCTTTGAATGCTACAGTTCGATATGGAACATTTGGCTCCTACGTTGCGGTACGAATATGCCATTCTGTGTTGTGAGTGGTGCTTTTCGTTCCGTAACAGTCATCAAAGCTGACCATGTGTATATGCTTGCTTCAGGCCAACCCAATTTATGTCAGGATGTACATGTACTACAAACTACTTTTGTTAGGGAATATAAGTCTATGACAATCACATCCATACTCTCAGCAATCGGCACAGCACGATTATTTCCACCAATTTACCAGCCCTTTCTCACAGTTCCAGCATTGTCAGGTGCCCATCAAGGTTTAGCAGACCTGATAAATATACCCCACTTCTGTTGGCATGAAAGTGGTTCAACATCAGAACTCCAAGTGAAATGTCAGCGCATTTATCACTTTCCCTATTTCTACATCATTCACACCGACAGAATTCTCACCGTGGTCTACCAGTAACTACCGTATTTTACCCGTTATAAATCGACCCCAAGTGCTTGAGGCCTCGATTTATCGGCTGAATATAGGTCGTGAAAGGCCGGCTTATAACCCGAAATTATAATTATGATACTCTATCGCTCATGTGCATTTCAGACTGGGCTGCTTGGCAGTTCCACTCCGCTATTGGGAGATACAATAGGGAAGAATTGAGTCATCACTTGAAGTGCCTATTATGAAGTGGCATCACGACAAGCGTTGACTCGTCATTCGAATCAATTCAATGCACATACAATGATGTCATTCACTTATAGCCTTTACGTCCTTGCTTCATACTGTATGATCTACTGTTCTGCGTGTGCTGCTGCTGCTTCCTTCTCATAGGCTATAAATGCTCTAAACCTGACGTGGCCAGTATACACAGGTGACTTCTTCCCCTATGCTAGCAACTATGGAGTAAGTCATTGTGTGGATACTTGTACTGGAATTTTGGGCAAGTAAACCTGTCTATATAATTATAGCCTCGTCCAATAACTCTTGCTCTGAAGTAATTCATAATTTGCATGGTCCCTTCAATCCTGGCTACACTATATAAATGCAAAGCTTGACCTGAAACATGCGCCTAGTGATCTGTATAATTCTGTGATAACTCCACGTTTTCAGATCAAATGCTTTCAAATTCCCAATGCATCAGGCTGACCAGTTTGCCATGCGCTCGTACTTGGCACTCGTTTTGTACACGTGCCCTGTCGCGTAACGTTGTTGTGCAGGTGAAGCTGACTGGTTCTTTGTTGTTCTTGTTTGCTGTGACTCCATTGTCCTGAATGCCGGTAGCAATACTGGACGGGATACTACACCAGTAGACCATTGTTGAAAGGTTACGTGCGCTCACGAGCCGCGCTGATGCGTAGTGTTGAGCTACTATTGTATGCAGCTGCCAAGTCACCGATTGCATCACCACTGGACGAAAAGGTACAGACTAGTACATTGTAAAGAAAAGAGGACCAACAAACTACAAGTTATGCTATAATGTCCACTAACACCACCAGTAGTTTCTTGGTCCGTTTTTCTTTACTATAAATGTATCCTTGGCTCTCCATCCGAGTCCATACTAGTACATTGGGAAATGAAATAGTAGTAAATGATTGGAATTGCAAGCATACTTGCATTACAGTACCTCAAGACCACCAATACCAGTCCATATCTATACCAGATAACTTCATATCAGACATTCACTGTGAATTTATTCTCTCCTTTTGTCTTGCATTTCTTGCTGAAGTGTCCTTTTTATTTGTTGGCTAAAAATTTCAGGCTTTTTCATCATACCAAGGTCTAGGTCTATGCCGAGGTCCTTCTTGTTGCCTTGCAATATGGCTGTCCGCAGCCAACCCTGCGAAGGCACAATCAGTAGTCAATAGCTTTGCACAAAGCTAAAACTGTCAAGTGCATTCGCAAAGTACATTTTCCATCTATTGAAAAAAAAAAAGGTGAAAATAATAATTGTTTCAAGTTGCGTCCAAAGACACCAGCTGTTTAACTCTCCTTGGAAATCATACCATCTGTGTATTGTACAATATGTCCTGTATTGCATACGTATTTTCTGTGTGTGCATGTTGTTTCACTTCCAGAGCATCATGGATGAACTTGGTTTGCTGAGACGAGCCATGGGTGTAACGCAGCATCATGACGGAGTTTCAGGTAAGGAATCACGAATATTCATCCAATCTCTCTTTCGGATGCCATTCTGGTTGGGCGTATTTGGCTTGTGCATATGTTTTTTCACTCACTGTCAGCTTGGCAAAAAGAGAAGAGGCAAAAGTATATTGGCATGGTCTGAACTTTGCTCACATCACGGTGCATTGTGTTCTTGTTTAGGCACGGAAAAGCAAGCGGTGGCTGATGATTACTACCTACAACTGTACAAGGGAACTGTGGCTTGTGAAAACCTGGCTTCAAACCTACTCAGTAGTATGATCAAGGGCAAAGCAGCATCTGCTCCACAACTATTTCAGGTAGAATACTAATCATTGGTGTGCTTCTCTATAGGAAGCCGAAGTGTGCCAGTACAGAACAGCAGTGTTGCGGCGAGGTGGCGCTGGCATTCACCCAGTCGACCTCTGAGTCCTGAAAATACAGCATGTTTACTCTAATCCAGTGAAAAATCTATTTATAGAAAAGAAAAGGGACCAAGGAACTATTTGAGAGATTATCTCCACTGCAAAGTTCTACGAAACAACCATTGGAATGGGCAATACCACATTTTGGCAGAAGCCCTGTAGCAATGCTGTATAGGCTGCTTGTCAACAGGCTCACTGCCGCATATCACGGTATAGTCTCTCCGACTTCCAAACCCAACAATCTGCGTGCTGCTATATCGTACCAGTAATTCCAATTAATTTACTTCTTAGTACCTGGATCACTTTACTATCTGTGTTAGTATGTAAAATTTGCTAAGAATGCAGTACACTCATCAGAGTCATTTCCTCCTATCCGGGTGGTATGGGACCGGGCACTGACCGGCACTTTGAAATCCCGTAATGCCTGCTTGACTTCTCAATGGGGAGGGCCAGAGATCTGATATATCATGTCACTCTTTCCATGAAAATGGCGAAAGACTAGTAATATTTCCATTAAAAACTCACCCACAGGGTGCCCAGTTGACCGAGGTACCCGTGACGTTGAGGTCCGGTCAAGAGAGATATGAGTATAGTAGAAGGAACCATAAGAACACAACCTGCTGATCAACCGATATAAAATGCGTAGTATTCGTACAGCTAGGAATCCTCAAAGAACTCGAATCCTATCTCAATTATCCTCTTTGACACGTAAGGCTCATACTCCAACACTACATACCTAAAAGGCATTGGTCCACAGACCTGAAAATGACATAGGTAATGAAATTTACAGTACATGCATAATAGAGCGGAGGTTGCAACAGAAAGTCTGTTCAGTATTCAGTAGGTGTACCGTTTGATGCCTACTTCATGCACTGTTCGTTCCCATTTTTTCCCCACCCGGCAGAACTCGTCAGAGGTCATGGTGAACCTCAGCGCATCAGATGAGATTTCTGTGGTTGTGTTCAACTCACTTGCCTGGGAGAGGGACGTCGTGGTCACCGTGCCGACAAACTTGTAAGTTGGTATCCTGCAACTCAACAGCATACGACATGCAAAGCAGTTTTAAAAGATTGAGCCATGGCTAGTAATATTATGACTCCTTTCATGGTCATCATTCGTATTGCGCACGTGTACGAAGTACATGGTATTTTTGACGTTGACGGATTCTGAGTGCGAGACACAACAGATTGGTTCAGAACTGCACTACTATAACATGTGATAACGTTATTGCTCCTTGCAGACGACTCCATGTGAGTCCTGGAACTGAATTGTTCTTGTGTTGGCTCTTGTTGCCAGGAGCAACCTAGTTGTGACGGACTCCACTGGAAAACAAGTTGCTGCCCAGGTGAGAGGACTGCACTAGAGAATGGCACAAAGCAAAACTAAGGAACTCACTTCAATCTTGAAATCAAGAACTTGAAGAGGGATATGTGGCACTGTTTTCTTTAGCCATTGAAGGTTGATGCTGTATCGTCATCCTTTGATTAGTATGCACTCCGACACTGCCTGAACAACCTCATCTGTACATAATGATTAGTAGTCAGGTGACTCAATCAAGTTACATGTATAGAGCATCAAGAGCAAAGCCAAGCAGCTTTATGTAAAGAGAAAAGCACCTATACTGAGTTACTAGTTATCACTAACAGTCCACCAAGGTAGCGAGATAGTATACAGTCAGATAGGTCGACAACTAGTATTATTATCTCGTTACCTTGGTGGACTGTTAGTCATAACTAGTAACTTATAGGTCCTTTTCTCTTTACATAGTACTATAGGCTCAACCTCCGAGTTTTTACCAAGTAGCTTTCCTTGCTAAAACCACGCAGGCATAGTGGGATGGTATATATATTTTTTTATTCCTTGCTATTTTCCATCTCATTGCAGCAAGTCTTGCCCTCGCCATCATACAACCCAGAAGTGGCCAACAAGACAGCTTTTGAGCTTTTGTTCATAACACATTTGCCTGCCTTTGGATTCGAGACATTCTTCTTGAAGCGCAGTAGCCTTGTGGAGGTAAGTTGCAGAGTGATGTGAGGATGTGGTGGACGTTATTATATCTGACCATGAACAGTGTTTTTCTTGAATAATATGCTCTTGTCTTTGAGCAGAACAAAAAAATGGTATGAAAAGGGAGTTTTATCATCACTGATTGATTCGGATGTTTATCCGCATGCAGCGGGTCGGAAGCGGAGTTGGAAGTCTGTATGCGCTCTAAGGAATGAATGCGAACTAAAATTTGTCCATGAAATTGTATTTGTAAGCACGTGGTTTCATTCGCATGAGCACACAAACATGACCTGTGCTGATACGTCGGCAGTACGTGTATTTAATCAGAAGTAGGTGATCAACTGAACGGGCAATGAACGCAAAGTAAACTTATAACTCCAATTGATGGTGTGAGAGTGTGCAAGTGATAATGGTGTGGTGAAGCATGCCAGAGTTATAACGCAAGTAACATCAATGCACACTGTAGCTGATAGTGCTGCCACCTCACATTGGCATACATGTGTATGCAGTCATACACAACTGCTAATAAATGATCAGCAACAGTGTCAGCATGAAGGCGACACTATATATCTATCACTAGCACCAATCAAGTCCTACATTCACACCAAACTCAGTCACTGTCACTTGACACCATATCACTCTCCCCCTCCGATTCGCATGATACCCGAGAAGGATCAACCTGCAGGTGGCGCGTCTTCCGGCGGAGCCTGCCACTTCTCCTCACTATTGGCTCAGCGGTCGGTAGCTCTCTGTGCTCATCATTGGACGACTCTTGAGTCAGCTTACCAGCTTCATGAGCGAGCAGTTGAACAGGCGCTCGTTCAAGCTCCTCAAGGTGCCGCTGCAAAATTCTGCGGCCACGCACTGGTTTCACCCAGTATGTGTTGCTCGATCTCCCGGTCACCATGTAGGGCTCTGACTTGTACGGTGCCAGTTTCGTGCCAAGCCCTCTCCGTTGCGATGGTACCAGTCTCAGTCGAACCCTATCGCCCACTGCAAACTGGGCACCCGGCGTTGGTTGACGTCGGCTCGCCGTCTTCTGCTGGCGTTCCTTGACCCGCTTCTCCACCAATCTGAAGACTGTATCCATCTCCTGGACTTGGGACCGTCGAGTATCCTGTACCTCCTCTGGGTCAGCCGGCATCATTGAATTCTTCAGGACGATTGGGCTGCTGCTGATACATGAGGTAGTATGGTGATACACCCGTGGTGGCGTTTGCAGTTGTGTTGTGGGCATACTGCACTGCTGCTAATGCCCTCGGCCAATCAACTGGCTTACGACCACAGACACACCGCCCGTGATCTATCAGCTGATTTTGCCGTTCTACCTGGGCATTCAATTTGGCATGCCCTGGACTGCTGAGTGCATGCCGCACCCCAAGTTGGCGGCATACAGTCTTAAACACAGCCTCAGTGAAGTGAGGTCCCCTGTCACTCTGCACCACCTTCGGGATATCGACACTGCACGCCCAGCGGTCGCACAATACCCTAGCTGCCGTCGTTGCTGAGCAATCTTTAGTCGGCACCAAGACGGCATAACGTGACAAAACGTCCTGCATTGCGAGCACATAGCAGTATCCATCTGAGACTGACTCTTGGAATAGACCAATGAAGTCTATCTGCACCCGCTCACCAACGGTCTCCGGAATGCTAGGTTGTTGGGGAGGAGGTACAGTAAGTATCGTTTATAAAGTGACCGGATATAATGATATACCGGTTATAGTGATAGAACACATCAAAATCAAAATCAAATCTGAAAAAATACAGCTAAAATATCACTATATACACTATTATCGGCTATACCGATATATCGCTTATTGTGATGGCCTTCAGGAAGCAAACCATATCAAATGTACAGGAAAATATCGCATATAATGATCAAGAGTGATCTTTCTGCATGTTCTTGTCCGTTTCTGGCTGTGTTGCCTCTCACGATGATGTTGCCAACTCACGTACACAGCCACTCATGTCTATTTCTGGCTCTACGCAACTCGTTGGACACCGAGTAGATCTACGATCTACGTGAACACGGATCCAGCTCAGGCTTTTTTTGGAGAACACGCTGAAGAAGCAGCCATGCCACATGATGTATCGAAGTTCTAGTACATGTACAGTCTGTACTCGTACTGCACTGCCATGCACTGCTCTGTGTCATGCACCGGTACACAGTCCGCGGAGCATGCATGCACTTTCAGCATGCTTTTTCCAGCGTGTACGCATCATTTCATGTGCAGTCATGTGCCATGTGTCGGTCAAACATGCAAATCGGCTATAGTGATGCACCGGATATAGTGATACATTTTCGAAAATCAAAGGGGCACGTTATATCCGATATTTACTGTATGTCCGGTCTCCTGACCCGCTTGTGCAGCTGGCACATTTCACAACATCTGACATACTTTCCTGCGTCCTCGGCAATATTCGGCCACCACATCACATCTCGGATCCGTGTCCACGTTCATGATGATGCTGCCATCACCGAATCACTAATTGCACCGCTTGCTGCTGCTGCTTCCCAATGACCCTGGAGATGATTTGCCTTTCTTAGTACTGTCTGGTATGACCGTAGCTGATCCTGCTCATCAAAAAGGCCGAACACCAGCAGTTCCTCTCATAGGCGGCTCGACTGTACGGTTCGCATAAACCTAGACAAGACACGTTCTCGTCGAGCTTCCAGGTCATTGGTTGGGAACGCGACTGCCGCTAGTTGTTGTAGGCGAGAAAGATACTGATCCAGGGATTCTCCCTCTTGCTGCCGACTCTCCTCGAACTCACTTATGTACGCAGCGAGAGCTTTGGTCCTGCCGTATCGGCCGTGGAGTGCCTCCATCATCTCCTTATCATCTTCCAGAAGTTTCTTGTTCTCCTCCTGAGACAGCCACACCAATGGTTCGCCCCTTAGCTGGGCCAGGACTTTTCGTGCATGAAAAACCTTGTCCGACCACAGCTTAGCTTCCGCATTTGTGTCCTTCAGCAATTCATTCAGCTCCCTTGCATTGGTATATGCACACTGAAAAGCTAGCCAGCTTTCCAATGACGTTCCACCATCACCAAACACAGGGGCGTCGCACACGGTACGGTCACTACGGTATTGACCGTACCACTATTCGACCCAAGTACCCCGTGAATCAATAAAATGCACTGATTTGGGCTCTAATTTTCCAAAATTTTCAGCTCAGCCACCCCTCCCCCACGAGTAAATTGTTCTTCAGATGGCTGACCGTACCACGCTTAATTACCTTCCGACGCCCCTGCCAAACACCACCTTCAGCTTCTCGGCCATCCTACATTCACACCAAACTCAGTCACTGTCACTTGACACCATATCAGTGCATGCTAAATTGATATGACGATATGATGTGACGGTTTTCATTCTGATTTGTGATTTTGTCCTTGGTTCGCTTTTTCTCCTTTGCCAAACAGGTCTCGGAGTTTGTCGAAATGGCCAATGAGGACATTGCAATTGAGAATGCACAGATAAAGGTACCTGTTCTGTAGCTAGCATTGAGCAGCCTGTGCATCCTGTGCAATGCTGGTACTGTTGTGGATCGTAAAAATCCAGTAGAATGACCAGGCCCGGCGCCCTAACTTGCGTAATGAGTACAGGCACTGTAGCACCATGAAAACGGACCAGCAGTACACACGGCTGCACGACCAGCGCCCCGTGGCCGCTTGACTTCTCAACGGAGTTCAATGTCCGCAACAGTACATGTACATTGCACTGGGTTTACACGGATCATGATCGCCCTAGTACTGGTGAGGATAGACTGAGGTACTGTGTCCAGGCTATCCTGATTGCATGCTATGACAAATCTTCATCGACATTACAGCCCTCGTGTCTCATTTCCCCACAACTCACCCCATGGTATCATTGCACTCTCCTCTCACATTGTAATCATCTTGTTAAGGCAACATTCTCTGGAGCAACCCACCGCCTCGGCAGTGTTGCACTGAAGGATGGAGGCAAAACCATCACAGTTGACAACAACCTTGTGCAGGTAAGTGGTTGATGTGTCAAGTCTACTTACAGCCGGCATAACGGATGGCAGTGTTATATTATTGGTAGATGCATTTGAAGAGCTTAGATGAAAAACGCATTATATCCATTTCATCACTTCTCGGATAATGGCCGAAAAGGGATATATTAAATGTGGGGGTTGTATCCGAATCCATATCTGGCCAACCGTTTTGAAATGGCTCTAGTCAGATTTTGAATATGAAAGTTTGCCTGAAGGTGCCCTTCGACCTTGATTGCACTGATCTCAAAATCTCAACTTCTCAAATGTGGCACTTACAGCAGTTCCCATCGAAACTCTTCATCTGTGTTATGCCTTTGATGTCAGATATAGTACCATCTGTTTGAAGGGATGAAAAGGGAAGAAGGTTTGAAAAACAAGTTGACAATAAACAGTCTTCTATTAAAATGTAGTTATCGTCGTCCCTTTGTATAAGTGTCGAGATGGCACGGGACTGGGAGCAGGTAGAGAAAAGCGAGTTACAACAACATCGCCACCAGGACTTGGACCAAGGAACTTCGCTTACGACCAGCAATAGTCTAAAATGTCCATGATATGATTTCAATGATATCATTGCATGCCTACAAGTTCAGTGACATCATAATTCTGCGTAATGACAGCTCAGGCAGTACACTGTGCACTTTATTGATCAAGTTGTGAATGGATGTGTTATGTCACATAATGTGCTGCAGTATGCCAGTGCAGCGGGAAATAACGAGCCAGCCAGTGGTGCCTACGTCTTCAGACCTATGCAAGTAAGTAGTGTGTGCTGTGTATGCGGTATAGCAAAGAAAAACCGTACCAAGGAACTACAAGTTACACGGTTATGTTCACTAACACCACCTGCTACTTGTGTCAAGTATGTACACGAGTACTACATTATTCTGAGTGGGGGCTGGGTGTGTTATGGATGCCTTTTACAATGAAATCGGGGGGGGGGGGGGGGGCATTGGCAATTGAACAGATTTGCCATGCTTCAGTAACTATCCGGCGTTGAATTTCGGGGTGAGGAAAAATAATTTTTGTCAACTCACGGTAAAATAATGTCTGTGCAAGTCAAAACCCTTGTTCTTGCATGTCCACTGTGCTCACATTTCAGTTATCACCTGTTTGATTTTGTATTTGTTGACATCCTCCAGGACAACTACGTATCTGTGGGACAGCAAAAGAACGGTGCAGAGCATAGCACAGGTGAGTGTACTTTCAATGACTCTTCAAGGTTTCCTTAGCACACAAGTTCTGATAGCAGAAGATTCCGACAAGCTAGATTTCATGGCAAGCAAGTCAGGGTGCAGTGCAATTCTATGTTCGTTATTGACATTTTTTGTTGGTCCGCCATTGACCTTGTAGGAGATTCACGTCTCATAAAATGATTGGTTATTGTTGCGTTATTGCAACAGCACTAAGGATAAATGCCCATGCACACTCTCTCAGTCCAACACAACCATCACACTCCGGTAGGAATTACAAACTATACTTGATGAAGACAGAAGGAGAAGTGGAGAACACAGGGAACAGAGTAGGCATGTAAACAGCACAGGCACGCAATAGTTACTGCTGGTGCATGCGAGGTGCATGTGCGTACGCGAAGGTATGAAATAGGAAGCGGGGTCAAATTACATATGGATGCACCATGCCAAATATATAGGCACAGGTAGGGGACTGTACAGTTATTATCCCAGAGAACGATAGATGGTTGTACCCAATGATGCAGACAGCTGGCTGTTTTGGCCATCTAGGCCTCATCAGTACAGTTGCAAGCTGCGTAACCCAAATTACCGGCCATGGCACAAAGTTGGCACCACAGACATTAAAGTAGCTCGTCGCTCTAGCGCCAGAGTGCTCCAACTACGAAAAGTAGCGTGCGATGATGGTTGCATGTTCATTCATGTAATATGTAAGCGTACAAGGGGTGTATCGTGCAAATGGAGTATTGCATGGTATACTAGTAGTGTGTGTGTGTGTGTGTGTGTGTGTGTGTGTGTGTGTGTGTGCGTGTGTGTGTGTGTGTGCGTGCGTGCGTGCGTGCGTGTGTCTGTGTGCGTGCGTGCGTGCGTGCGTGCGTGTGTGTGTGTGTGTGTTGCTGTCCTTTTCCGTTCACTCCAGGATGGCACTTCCCCGTGAAGCAGAACAAGTATGGAAGTCATGATTTCCCTCTCCTACTGGCCACTCCGACCTGCCAACCAGGCCAGACGTTTTCAGACACGTTTGCTGTTTCGATCCAGCACTCGGATGTTTTCCAGGTAAAGGAGGAATATGCAGCAGACTTGTGTGTCTCTTGAAAACATTAATTTTTACACGTTACAACGCATGATGGGTTCTAGATTTAGATAGCGGCATGCGCTATGGGAGACTTGAGGCTTGAATCATCCCATCCAGCCAATATTGCTCAATAATGAATTCTGTTGTGGCACAAACATAATAATTATTTCGAAGTATTATGCTGGTGCTACCACAGAATTCATTCATATCATTTTCTTGACTGCTGTTGTGCGTATTGTTCTGCTTGCTTCACTGTCCCACTGCCACACCTCCAGACAAGCTTCCACATGTTCCGGGCTGATGGTGCACAAGGATGGAGTCAAAACCCATGGGTGAACTATGCCATCCTGGATGATACCCAGCCCCCGCTCAATGGCCTCAGCGGCTATCAGTTCGGAACATCAGAAGTTAAGGCGAGCACTTCCAAATGCGCCCAGGCCGAGATTACATTTGATGTGAGTGACTATTGGATTTTGTTACACGCAGTCATTCTTCTCGATATATGCATAAATGTGTGCAGGGGAGGGGAGGGGGGGGGGGGGTACTGGGGAGAAAGATTGTATTCCTTTTTTTCCGTAACTTGAGGTCTGAAAGGGCAGACAGTCACTTGCAATATGTTAGGGGTTAATGTAGCATCATACGGTTGCTTTCAAATTCTCTCCAACCCTAATCGCTACTTGCTAACAATTCTACTGGACAAATGGCAGTATTCTCTGCTCTTCTGGTGTCCAGAAAGCCTTCACAGCAGCACCTCAGGTAATCACGACCATTGAAGACCCACAGATAGGAGTGAGTTTCTACGCGTCCTCAGTGCTGGTGACATCTACAACATCTGCCACAGTCAATGTATGCAGGTCAGTTCAATGCAAATGAAGGAAAACACACTCTGCGTGTTTACAGGTGTTCCGCATTCATTCCTCTTATGTGTGCAATGTAGCTGTTTGGCCAGGGTGGGCACAAACCCACTGGGAGTGCTCTGATTCAACAATACAATGATCGCCACTGTCGCTTGTGTTGTAATGATCCATGTGTTACACCAGCTATTAATAGGTAAACGTCTTCTGAAACCATGTTGCGTTCGCCATTTCAAGGCATATTTCTTTAGAAAGACGGCTACCGGTAACTGACAACTCAGCATAAGGGTGCACGAGCCGGCAGTGCATACACACCAGGCATACATGCACAGCCCATGCATATCATGTCAGTTCATAGAACACATGGAATAGCCTGGTAGCTGGATGGAGTATCTCGGAAGTTATTTCTTTTGTGTACTATTCTCCTGTCAGCACGTAATATCCAGTGTGTTGACTTTTTTGTTCCTTTTTGTATGCAGAGCTGATGGTGCTGGCGGCGGTTGGGGAAAGTCGGTATTCCTCAACTATCTTGCGTTTGACAGTTCTGCAAAGGCTACTCATGACGACGTGAGGTTTGGCTCATTCGGCGTATCTGGCTCTTTCAAGGGCCCAAAGTAAGTGTATACAGGTCTACCCTCGTTAGCAGGACATCGGTTACAAGACAAAACCTGGAACGAATTTAACAGTCGTACATGCAAGTACGGATAGTAGAGAACACTCGTTGTAAGACAAGATTGTTGAACCCTCCTGGGTTGTCTACTAACGAGGGTAGACCTATACCTTGAAGAAGCTTTGATAGTTTCACTAGCTATGGGTAGGCAAAGTATAAGGCAACAAATCATAGTGATGGTGTCCAGCTGATTAATCTCACAAGGAAACGTGTTTGGCCCTTAAAAGCATTAGACCTACTACTAGTAGACCCAGGTGCTCGAAGTCCGTACACTTTTACAGTGTGTGTTTGCCGAGCTGAAACTCACACTAGCAATGATCACTTGCCACAATCCTGCTCGTGGATGGAAGGTATCTTGTCCAAGTTTGTTCTGAGGCCAGGCTCGATTGAACCAGGCCATCTTTCGATCCGATCTGTTTCTCTGGAGTTCGCTTATTTTTCATATCAAATTTTGGTGTCGCAGAGGGTACTCTAAGTCCGTACTGATCAGAGGTGACTCGAAATACACACATATTTCTGCTAATTGCTAACTTGCAATCCCTCGGTTACGACGAAAGCACCGAACGGATATGTTTGGCATGTGCCTCCACCAGTATTTCTTGCAAAAGCGTAGTTTGTTGCCGAAATGCAAGCTGTTTTTAGTCGGCTCAGAGAAGAAGCAGCTGCGCTGTGAAAACCGCGGGAAAACAGTGGTGGAGATGCCAGGAGTGTCAACCTTTCTGCAAGGATTGGTGGTTCTCTGTAAATTCTTCTCCTCTGGCCATTGTCAGCTCTAAGCTGGCTCTTGATGATTGAGTGAAGGTCTGTTTGACGCTGTGTCCGTTCGAAATCGGTCTTGGCAAAGTTGATTTTTGCATGAAATGTAACCCAATTTGTATTTCGTATGGACACTCGAAAACCCACTCCCGTGGTATGGGACTTCTGCTTATCGTAGATCCCTGAAAACTGGTACGCGAGGAGAACATACCACACTGTCCCCTCCATAAAATATTTGAGTCGAATACAATAACAGAACATGAAATTATGGGCGTACGAACTTAGGATACCATGTACGGACTTCGAGCACCTGGGTCTACTAGTACCTTGCTTTGATGTGTCACAGTGTGTCACAGTGTGAATGAAAGAGTCCGGGGTACGCAGTTGATCATGTTCATAGCTTTATCCAAATCATGGCGAAATTTGCTATTTCCTAGTATCTTGCATCCTTGATGCACGTGATATAGTCCTATCATTGTGTGATTGCAATCCATGCAGGCAAACCAACGTCTCCTTCAGCTCAATGTATCCTGTGTACCGGGGTATTGTTCTGGCGACGGCGGTGAGCAAAAGCGGACAGGTATGTTTCCATGTGAAGAGCACATCACTTCACAGTACAGCCTGTGAATTTTATTGTGCACCCCCTTCCCCTCTTACTATCACACTTTCCAAATCAGATTGAGTGTCTGCTTGTTGCTTGCGGTACCTTCCTCTTTGTTGTCACTTTTGAATTCACCTGGTTGATTTCTGTTGTTCTTGCTGTTGTGCTGCTCAGGTGTATGCTGTGACATCATACAACTCTAGTGTGGATGGTTTTGGCATGAACGTTCACTCCTTGGACGGGAAGCCCTGGACAGATGACCTGACGGTACGATTATGGACGTTAGATCCATGATATTGCATGAAGCCAGGCACTTTTCGTCGCCATATTGTTTTACGACTCATTATCTGCAATGTGTGCTACAGACTATAAAAAAAAATACTTGAGGCCAAACTAAAGAAGGTGTGTGGTTCGACTAACATGGACATTTTTTTTACGGGCGGGCGGGCGGATTTTTTTTTTTTAATATATTTTTTAGTACATGTGAATACACTGTACTGCCTTTAGACACCCAGTACATCGGCATTATTACGCAGTGTTATGCCATACATGTTGTATAAAGGGATCACTGGCTAATACTTTGAAACATTGTGTAGCTCTGGAACGAGAAGAGAATAACTTCAAGCGGTGACTCTGACTGTCCAAATCATCAAGCAAATGAAGAACGATGCTAGTTGAAAGTAAGTTCGGGAACTACTTCGAAGTACAAATTGTACAATGTACCGGTACATGTATTGCTACTTCGAAGTAGTTTGGTGTCGGCGTGCACGAATACATGGGCTTTTTCCATCGACGCTTCCTGTGCTTGCACACATGGAGCAGCAACTTACCGGTACAGGTGAAATATCGTTCCCAATACACGAGGAAAGTGCAATCTCGTCTGTCCTTCATCCCAAAACAGAAGGCCGTCCTTAATCTGGAACGAGGCAATCACTCTCAACCGGACGGTCACTTCAAAATAAGTCTCGCCAGTCTGCCGGTGGTCGTATCGAGTAGACTCTACTACCAGCACAAGGTAGCAGTCGTACCACTCACTGCACTGCACTGCAGTACAACTACAAGTCAAGTCCAAAAGGAGCCGCCTGCGTCCGCAGACTCACGCTGCACAGCACGTAGACGTGGACGTGTTCAGTCCACGTAGATCTACGTCAGTCACACGACAGCCCGCCGAAAAAAAGTTACGGTCGGGCTGAAAAATGTACGGTCGGTCGGGTGAGTCGAACCACAGACCTTCTTCAGTGTGGCCTGATAAGAATTTCCCAAGTGAAAAACACTTGATGGGCGCTGCCGTTGTCCCATGTGAAGTGCCGTGAATTGTGTCGCAAATATGCCAAACAACTGATTATTGTGTGCCTGATGGATAAGCCATACATTGTGTGACTGAATGCTATGCCCATGGATGTACATGTATACTGCGAAGGTATGTATGATGTGTAAGCGGAAATCATTTTTGACCTACGATAAATGTTGCTCCTGTGCATGATACCATTATGTTCTTGCTGTAGGTGAACTGGTTGATCTTCCGTCGAAATACCATTGAAGCACCGGTCATGGATGATGAGAGTATCGTAACAAAAGTCACAACAGGTCCAGTGGTTCAGGAAGTCAGACAGGTAATGTCAGGGACAAGTGGACGGCTTCAGATTAGCTCCAATATCAGGCTTATACGAGATGACTTTACTGTTCTGGACATGGAAACCCGGTCGAATGACCGGGGCCGGCGCCCTCAGTGCATACAGAACGTTGCATGCAGTGCACGTGTTGATCGTGTGCGTGCTCACGGCTGCATGGCCAGTGCCCTGGGTCTGCTTGACCTCCGACCGGATTTCCATGTCCACGACAGCACATATAATTTGACGAAATAAAAATATGGAAAACAATTCTGTTCAACCAAGTCTTCATGGGTCACTAGCCTCTTGTGTGCCTTTGTTGAGCCAAAAAAGCTTGGCACAATATGCCTTTATACGAGGCATTCTTTTTTTACATGTGCGATACTGCGTTGTCCCCTCACAGGTATTCAAGAACCATTATGCTATCACATCTCGCCTGTATCAAGGCTCATCTCCAACCTTCCAGGTTAGGTTCAGATACTTCAAAGTAGTAGATAGTGAATTGTCCGGCTATAATACTAATACTTTAAGTATTACATTGCCTCATGCACGTGTAATACAATCTTGAATCTTCTAGATGTAAGTGCTTCTGCTTCAGTTACCATGGTCAAATGAACTCCTGTCGTAGAGCCATTGCCTGTATGTGGCAATACAATCATTGTCTTTGGGACATTCTTTGCCTGTGACATCTCCATGGACTCGAAGGCAATGACTTGAAGACTGCTCAGAGCCTTTTCCCGGCCTGGAGAACGTAACCCGTGGGTCCACTCCAAGTGTTTTAGTCGCTATGTGTTTCTGATCCTTGATATCTATCCTTTGTTGTGTACAGTTTTTGGATCAAACTTACGACATTGGACCACTGGATTTGGGTAAAGAGCTGGTCACCAGGTGCGTACCAGATGTACATAAGCCGTTTACTAGCATCCAGAAATGCCGGTATTGTACATCACAAGTAATAGTTATAACCGCACCAGTTGTTGTGTGGTGGATGCTTCTCAACGCCAGCTGGCGTGGATCGTAGTTCTAATCCTATCAGGTGTGTGCTTTGAATGAAAACAGTTTAAAACATTCGATCTAGAGAAACAATGTCAATGCCAGTCGTATCCTCCAAAGTTTGCGCACAACGAGTGAACACAGTCACTAGCCTTGAAATGAGAGCTACTGTAGATATGGCATAATACACAATGGATAGGGGATCACATCGAGAGAGGTACTAATACACAATGGATAGGGGATCACATCGAGGCATTCCTTATTGGGAGAATACCACACTCCCTCCTGCCACGAACAGGCAGATGCTGTCTGCATTTGTGTAGCTCCCCACTACCTAGTGTACATCCGCACTAATGCGATTGCCTCTGACACAGGAGATAGCACCCCCCCCCCCCCCCCCCCATACGCCCACAGGTGTTTGAGTACATGTACATGTACTTGATTACGGATCCTGGACTACAAGATGGTGGGCTGTTGTCGTGTGGTCTCTTTTCTTGACTGCTCAGATTCCAAACAAGCCTGTCGAATCCCACATGGTATTCAGATGATACTGGGTTGGAGCTGATTCCACGACAGTACGATCCCACTAAGGATGAAGCAGTAGCAGGTAAGGAAGTGATTGGGAATGTGGCAATGTACGTATGTATGGGAACGTGGCAATGTATGTATGTATGGGAATGTGGCAATGTACGTATGTATGGGAACGTGGCAATGTACGTATGTATGGGAATGTGGCAATGTAAATGTGTATGGGTATGTGCTGAAGGGAAACGGGCGTACCACCCAGAGCAGCGCCAGTTTCAAGTGCACAGCCTTAGCACCACTCCCATCTGATTATTTCAAAAATATGCATGTATTATGACACACGTGCGTGAGCTTTGGAATGTTCATCATCCAAAGCTTGCCTTAGACCCAGGAACTTTTCGTTTTTACTAGATGGAAATGATGTTGAGCTTGTGTCACCTTCCTATAGAGATAATGTACTTCAAAAGTACAATGTAAAACACTTTGAAAAATGGTGGAGTCCATTTATGACCTTCCCCCCCCCCCCCCCCCCCCCAGTCCTTGCCGATAGCATTCTATAATGTGATCAACCCGCAGTGTGAATGTGAGTTTTCCTAGCATGAGCAACTAACTACATTGGTCGCGTGGTGATTTCTTGGGTACTTGGGTGAAGAGTGTCCACCATGATCAATGTAAGAATTAACCACCTGGTTCTGTGCTGCTTCGATTGCCCTGTACCATAGGTAACTACTATCCGATGGTGATGGGTTCATTCATGAACGACACTGCGGATGCCGTCAGCATGTCGTTCCTGTCCGAACGCTCTCACGGCAGTGCCAGTCTTGGTGACGGAATGATGGAGGTCATGCTTCACAGGTAGGCCTTGGACGGGTGTGTGTGTGTGTGTGTGTGTGTGTGTGTGTGCGTGTGTGTGTATGTGTGTGTGTGTGTGTGTGTGTGTGTGTGTGTGTGTGTGTGTGTGTGTGTGTGTGTGTGCGTGTTTGCTGTACGCGATCTTTTGCCGGTCGACGCTGGCGTTCATGCACTGCTGGCCATGCGCATCTCTCCAAAATGAAGAAAAAGAGTCCCAACAATTGTCAGAGTGGATATTGTACAGGCCATACTGGAATCAGGCAACAGTTCATGATGTGCTCCACATAGAATACCGGACATGGTATACATAGATAAAGGTTTGATGGTAACTGGTGCAGTGCTATAAAACTCTGACTCTGAGTAACAACTATCTCTATCCAGTTTTGCCTTCTATCTAAGGGTGCTCTGCTAGTGGGCATTGAGCACTCTGCAGACAGTTGAACCACTCCACTGCTCGGGCATGCTCTATTTATCACAGCCACCAACAAGGACCTGCACTGACATGACCAGAATACCGAACCACAATATTACCATCGTTTAAAAGAGTGTTCTTCTCCTCGACCATGCTGCCCTGCTGCATGCACAATCCGTGCCTAAGTCATATCCAAGGATGCTGGGCATACGAAATTGTTCAGCTCCACATGAACCTGTATTTTAGTTGTAGCTACTTCATAGTAACGTCATTCACTACAGACCGCACACTATCTTGTGTAGACGTACATGTGCTTCAGTAGGGTAAAGTGAACATAAATCTACCTGAATCCAATATACTTCATCTAGGTGCTCTTTTATGTCAGTTGGTCCTCTTCCTTGTTGCCCGGGGAATTTATGCTATGGTGTGTGTGTGTGTGTGTGTGTGTGTGTGTGTGTGTGTGTGTGTGTGTGTGTGTGTGTGTGTGTGTGTGTGTGTGTGTGTGTGTGTGTGTGTGTGTGTGTGTGTCATGCTTATCTTGCAGGAGATGCCTGCAGGACGATCACTTTGGAGTTGGTGAAGTCCTAAATGAAACTGACCACATCAGACCAAGGTAAATATGATGGGAGTGCAATGCAATGTGCATACATTGTTGTGGAGCACCCGTCCTGCTCTAAAGTGATGCAAGGCTGATCAGCAACCCACTCCGTGAATAAAGGATCACCGCATTAAAGCGCCCACTTACGTCCTTAGTGGTGGCTCTGCAGCATCTGCAGCCATTCTATTCACGAGCGCATATTGTCACTGACCAGCGCTGTCTTTTCATGTACATGGGTGGTCAGTGGCAATTCGACCAGGGGCGTACTCTCTTCACCCCAAGTCAAACTGCCCAAGACACCCTGCAACCATGCGACCCATCTTAGTTGGCACTCCCATGCAGTATAAAACTTGCAGAGGAGGTGTCAAGTGAGTGATTGGATTTCACTGGGCAACCACGATTGTATGTTTCCAGATGTAGTACTGCACCGAGTATATGTCAGGTTGGAAATACGTGTTAAGTACCTTCTCCCGTACGTTCTACAACCTTACCCAAGCTGGCCTGCATGCACCCTCGTACTCATCTTTTGTCTCCTTTTGTCACCTTTTGTTCCGTTGGCCTGGGTAGCTACTTGCCCGCCCATATTTGCCATAGCTATCCAGGCCCTTTATCTTGCATTCGCCCTGACTCGATCTCTCTCTCTCTCTCTCTTCCAATATTAGTCATTGTAGTTCGTCTTTCTCTTCGTCTCCCATAATAAATGTCGTCCCACCTACCCGTGCCCGTTTTCCGTTGTGTCTGGGAGTATGGACCCTAGAGGTACTCAACATAAGTAACTTTTTGATTCAAAAAAGATGTATAACACTAGCAATGATAAACAGTAACCTTGATGACTTTGCTCAGTGGTATGCTCAAATAGAACAAGGTGTCATATAGCATGACAGATTTTCCCACACAGTTTTCATGTTGAGGTCCAGAACAGCACATTCACGGAACAATGCCTCTTGAACTCTTCCATCCACTCTAAATGTCCATCTCTCTATCTGTCGGTCTGTCTATCTGTCTGTCTGTCTATCTCCTCTCTCTCTCTCTCTCTCTCTCTAACATTTTATTATCCGGTATTTTGTGTTGCATTAGGCTATGGATTGTCCCAGCAGATAGTGCTGAAGCCGGATACAACCTCAGACGCAAGCTCCAGTACGAGCTGCAAAACCCACCATTTGTGATGTATGGCAAGGCGGCAGCGGGCGCTTGGGCTCAGTCCTACACTACGTCATTCTCGGCCATGAGCAAGCCATTGCCGGACAATGTCCACCTGTTGGCGCTGAAGGCGAGGAACGACAGCGAGACGGGAAAGATAGCTCAGTAAGTATGCACATAGTTGCTGGAGTGCTGTTCTGTGCTTTGTGTAGACACGGGTTTGCACAGAGACTGCACACGACATGCCGTGGACAGGAAAATCGGTGTGGCCACCATCATGTGATGGTGTGATCCGTTGATCCTGGTGTTTACTGGAGATGGAAGTTGGAACCACTATGGCTCTCCTATCTGGTCCTATGACAGATGTGCAATACCAGTATTTAAGTTTGTGTCCAAGACCATCCTCACTTCACTTCGCACTTCACTCGTGAAGAGAGACGAATTCTCTCTAAGTTTCACCTTGTCGGTTTTCAATTTACCACTGCAGGTACGTAATTCGTCTTCAGCATGTGTTTGAGAAGGATGAAGGCTCTCCACTGGCCGTGCCTGTCACCCTCAACAGTGATGACTACTTTGCAGAGGGCTTTCAGCCAACCATGGCCAGTGAATCTACGCTGTCTGCAAACAGAGATCGGTGAGAACCCTACTGGACTACACGTACAGTGCAAAAGGGAACCTGTCTAAGGCAAACTATCGTGCAAGGGACCTTCAACATGTGGTCGCTGTGTACACGTGGTCTTCTTATCCAGGGGCATTTTACTGGAAATAACGTCGGCCATCGGTCCTGGTTGTAGTGGTCCTCTGGGACAGGTGGTCGCATCATCAGATAGGTCGCATCATCAGATAGGTCGCATCATCAGATAGGTCGCACTGACAGGTTTTGCTGCATGTACAGTGTATGTACAGTGTGCTGTATAGTGTATGTACAGTGTGCTGTATGACGTGACACAATAGCTAATGGTATCAGTTATAGGCCTGCTCAGAGCTATTGAATAGTCTGCTAAGTTAGTATGCTGTCCGCTACTGATCACCCAGTGTGTGAAACTTTTTAAAGGTACAACACAACAGCCTACCGTCCACTGTATTTCTGTACACTGCACCCCCCCCCCCCCCCCACCCTAATGCATTATGCACTAGGTGTCAATGCCGTAAGCCTTCATACATTGTGAATGAAGACCATCATTCTAGTCGGTAGCCAGTACCAGTGTTAGGGTAGAAATGCATACACTATGACATGTACATGACTTGATTGCGACTACTAGTACTGTAGTACATGCACGTAAACGTAAGCCTCGTCATAAGCTATAAGTAGATCTCCCATGCTTGTAACCTTGTTGTCAGCACTTCTAGAACTAGTACTTCTACCACTTCCTTTTAGTTAGTCAATCACGTCGTTGATTCCGGACTGTTCCATACCTTACAGTAATATGCCTGATGAGTAATGTTGCTGACTACATTGCATAATATAGATATCGCACCTTCTAGAATACCTCGCTTAGTCATTATGCTAATGTTACGCAATGCTCATTTCATCTACATGTATAGCAATGATGATCTAAGTTTACCTTCTCCACTATTCTAGAACTTGTAGAAGGATGATTTCGTAATCCTTGTCTTACCAACCTTAGTTCTCTACCTTCGCTATAAAAGCTGCTGCCTTTCTAGTTTCCTACGGATTAGTTTCATGCTAGACTACAGTGTATTACCTGAGAACTATTTCTCTCTCTCTCTCTGAATAAGTGTGCAATTCTGTATGATAACCATTATCCATTACTGTACCCTCGTGCTCTGCTGACTGAGCGAAACCGGGACTTAACATTTTAAATGTTAAGTCTGCATTTCTACCCTAACACCAGCAACATACCACTGCACCAAGGCTGATAGACCCCCCCCACACACACACGCTCAGTACTAAACAATCCCTTGCACCGCTTCATAGTGATGTTTGACTGGGTTGGTAACCGTGTTCTTCCTTGACATCTGCAGATCAGCTGTCAATCGTCTGCCATGGAAAGCAGAATCAGGTGACTGGCCAACATCATCATCATCATCATCATCATCATCATCATCATCGCAGAAGTAAGACCACCCGTCACGAATTCATGATGCATCATGTATTTCAGTTTTCAGAAGCCGAGGATGCCCACATACTTGCTTCTAGTGCTACTATAATTCTGTCTGTTACTGATCCATTCCTCCACCCCCCCCCCCCCCCCCACACACACACACCACACACACACACACACACACACACACACACACACACACACACACACACGCACGCACACACACACACACACACACACACACACATACTTCGAAGTATACACACATACTGTGACATGCACGGAAAAGCTGTGATTATGTCCTACCCTGGGGCAGTTTTCCATGCCACATTTTGAACTGGCCGGGATCGGGCCATGCTGGAAGCCGTCCTAACCTGCCTCAATTAGTGTGGCAAGCATGAATGCTGTTTTAGACAACCCCTTAAGGACGCTTATCAATGTGTCACTCCGACATGAACTGGGGTTGGCTAACTGGGCGCCTGCATATTTTATGGTGTAGCCTATGCTTCAAATAATCATAAGGTGCACGCCAGAAAAGTGATCATGTTTCTGTTGCTATTGAACTTTGTGTGTAGGTGGGATGCCGAGCAAGCCAACACGGTTAACCTCGTGCCCAGGCAGATACGTACTTTCATTGCCAACTAGACTGTCATAAAGCTGAGTGCAAACAATACATGTCACTAGTATCATGAGAACTGGATTGTTGAACGCCGGGGGTTGTTGGCTAGCGACCGGAAGCTCTTATCGCCTCAATGCCCCCGGCAATCTCCTTTTTGCATCGATTGTATATCACGTCCCTGTTGTTCAAAACGTGTTATATCTCTAGAGATATCCTAGTCACATCTATTCTACTTCCCCCTCAACCTTATGAATATTTTATCATATTCTAATAATTATTGGCGGCCTCATTTTTATAGTAGACACAATTGGGTGAACTCACCCATTCCACAATACTCTGCAAATTTCCGAACCATTCCATTATATACAACGTTTCGGCCAATGGCCTTCTTCAGGTAGTCAATGACTACCTGAAGAAGGCCATTGGCCGAAATGAACGAAACGCAAATTTGCAGAGTATTGTGGAATGGACGAGTTCACCCAATTGTGTCTACTATGAAACTGCAGGAAGCCTCCAAACTTCTCCTCTCATTTTTATTGTGGCGACATAATTTTTAACGGCCAGTGAAGTACTGTCTACTGATCAAAGTTCCAAACTGTTTAGGCCCAACTAGCATTGGCCAATTGATAATAGTGGACGTGATATCGCTGCTTCACTTCCTAGAGCTGCTTTAAAAACGTTGGTGCTCAGTGTGCAAGCTCGTGGCCCGTTGCAATGTTCTTACTCCCGTCGTAGTGGGGTGACAGGACGGTGCCATCATCTGTGGGCCGTTCATCTTGCCTTAGCTTGCGGCGCAAGATTCAGCCCGGGGGTGGTCAGCAGTGCTCAAGTAGTTAAGGTAGTGTAATCTACTGCGCCTCGACAGTCTAATCTCGACAGTCAAATCCCAGGACCCAGCTCTTGACATGTTTGACATGGAGCGATGTTGTCAATATTGACACGTCAGCATGATTTACATGTACATGGATAACAGTCTTGTACATGTAACTGTTTCAGCTTCGGTTTATCATACACTAGTGGAATGAGCTCATTCCCAGGCAGTAGGTTGCAACACGACTGCATTGTCTTGGCCTTTCTTCACCTGTAACTACTGACGTCATCATCGTATGTGAATGACTCGATTCACGTAGTACATGTAGTACGACACTACACATGCCATGTAGTATGATACTTACTGTTGAGTGATGATAATAATAATTATTATGTAGATAGATTCCGTAGATCAAGATCAAGTGACCTGGCTGGTGAGTCACTGAGTAGTGAGTGCGTTCGATTACGCACGCCAATCGATTCGTGCCATTCATGAATCGATTCAAGTGCATAATCGAACGCAGCCACTGGTGACTGCTTGGCGTCTTGGACCGTCGCCAATCGCCATTCTGTCTGCGAAGGCGGCTGGTAGGTCTACTGCTGCCAAATACAGTAATCAGGTCTTTTCAGGAGTCAGGACAGTCTGTGTTCGGAAACAGTGCCCCTGACAGCACTGACTATGCACGACGGCACGACAGGCCTAGGGCCAGGCGTAGATCTTCGTAGTGTCAGTCATGACTCATGCCGTCATGGTAGATCTACAGGAACATGGCTGTGTGAATGTGTGATGAATGTCTGTACGCCATGGGTGCAGGTGCACTCCAACACTCCAAAATGTGTGAGCACGTGTGAGCAGCGGCGATAAAACGCCACAAATCGGCTGTGTTCTGCCTGGATAGCTACAGTTTCGCAATGTGTTTAGAGCCAAACACTTGACACAGCAACCACTCGCGCCTCTCAGTGCCACATACTATTAGTTTCACAGTCACTCGCATCATCTTTCATTCCCATCTTCCGCAGCCAAGAGAAAAAGACAAGTGGTTTTGCTCTGCAGCTGTCTTGAAGTAACTTTAGTTGAAAAAATTTCTTGGGCGCACTTGGCGTGGGATAAGGCGGTGGAAATTTTAGTAGCAGGGTCTTGCGCAGTGTATAAACACACAAGAACAAGCAATGGCTTCGAGCTCGCCGGCGAAACATCCTGATTCACTTTTACCTCCAAGTCCTTTGCCAACTCGGCGAACCAGGACCCTATCAACGTAAGTCTGAGTGCTAGCGGCGCCATGACCTGCATATAACATTGTTCTTACAAACAGTAGACCGTTCAAATAGCGACTGTTGGATAGTCTATGGTTTGTGACGAGGCGTAGGCTCTACAGGTACATGAACGAGCTCGAGCCATGAAATTCATTGTACTGCTATTTTTAATAATACGCTATTGTTATTTTCTTTACAATGAGAAGCCGATAACAATGCGGGGGGGGGGGGGGGAATGGGGATATAATCGGGCGTTCGCACTACCCGAAGCTGCTCACCTCTCCTCGGCTGTGGACTGTGGTATGCATTCTCGTGCGTAGATCTGGCTTCACCACACTAGGGTTCCCTGCAATAAAGCCATACCTGTAGGGACTCCCCTAGTCAAAATTTAATAGTAAACTCTACACTCGGCAAACCATGCAAGTACTGCCGGCAGTAAGGCGGAGACGTTTGGTGAAATCACCCAAGAGAATCTGTACACATGTGACTAGTACTGTGCATTCTTTGCTTTTTTGAAGCACTGAGCTACAGCCTTTCCTTGCCTATCATGTCGTGCAAGTGTGTTTGGTGATTTCACCAATAACGATTCTTTCCGGTCACCTTTCTTGCCTTGCATGATGTTGCTTTTTTGGCAAGATTGGAAAATTTAAGATGTGCGTGTGTGCGGTGTATTGTGTGTGTGTGTGTGTGTGTGTGTGTGCGTGTGTGTGTACGTATGTGTGTGCATGTGTGTGTGTGTGTCAGAGTCTGTGCATGCATGTGTGTGTACATGTGTGTATGTGCATGTGTAGAGAGAGGGGGGGGGGGGGGGGGCTAGACATTGCATTTTCTTATTTTCTAACATAATGCTGCATTCGTACACTACTTGAAAAACAACAACATACTTGAGAAACAACAACATACTTGAGAAATACATTTGACTTTCAGTGAACACTTGCTGAACAACGCTCTAGCTGAAAACTGTCCACACAGGAAATCATTGCGGCTGCTTTTCAAGCGTCTTTTTAATCCGCCGAAGATATATTTTTTAAGAACCCAGATGGTGACCCAAGGAAAAATTGTAACATGGAAAATGTGGGCACAAGTATGCGATCGAGTCCACCAACTAAACCGGATTTTGAACGGTCAGACGTGCACAATCTTGCACAAAACTGACAAGGGGTACGGGGGCGACGAGGAGACAAACTTTAAAAAACCATTTAAAAAAATGTAAACGCAGTCATCCACAGACGCAGAGCAACATTTAGCTGATTTGAACGTTTTCTCGCGGCAATCTTCAGGAAAGGATCACCACAATGAATTGGAAATAAGCATACAAGAGGAATACAGTTGAAACTTCAACTTGAAAGATGAAAGAAATGCAGTTGCATGATGTCCACCACTTTCTGAACGAACTTGAAAGGAAGACGTTCAATGTACTAACACAGCAATAAGGGAACAACTCTATTACAGTGGTCCCTCTATAATCCGGCACCATCTGTGCCACGGAAAATCTGCTGGATTAGGGAGGGTGCTGGATTAACAAATCTGATTGACTGCTGTAATGTGCATGAAGAGGACATTGTGGCTACTGAAAATTGTGCTGGTTTATCGAGGGTGCTGGTTTATAAAGTGCTGGATTAGAGAGGGACGACTGTACACAGTACAGCAGGGTGTAAGGGTGCAAAGGTAGAGAGTTCCAAGGTTAACATTGCCAGTGCATGTAGAGGTGCTAGGTGAATGGAGTGTCGGAGAGCGGTGATGTATACTTTCGGACTGCATAGATCTGGGCTACGTGAGGCGTACCGGTATGAAGATATCTTCTAAGATATGAAGCCGACGTACACTATTGGCGTAACGCAAAACACTGAAGCACAAATAATCATAAACATCATGGAACTTACCGGACTTGCGAGAATCAGTTATAACATGATCGGTGCTCAACTCCATGTCTCACAGCAAAAGTTAGTTTATCTTCTTTTTTTCACTTTTTGGGATTTATGTAATCATTTCATCAATTGTGACTTTACAGGATAACCTAATGACGTAAACATAGCCCAGCCAATAAAGAATTGAGACTGAGGGTGATTAACCAACCATGGTAAGAAAGAACTGGTGAGGTCATAATCTAAATGATGCGGGATGAGGGAAACAGTTCACAAGCTCACTGGAGATTTCCATTTCTTGATTGTTCTTTATGCAGTTCTGAGCGAGCAAGGCAGGGTGCAACAGTGCATGGCATTTGCCAATCATTTGACCGCAACAAGGGCCATGGCTTCATCAAGCCCGACGGAGAGGATGCGCTACTTTTTGTCCATATCTCAGAGTAAGTGTGTTGTTACCTGTCCCTGATCAATTCCACGGGTCGCATGGGTGTTGACAGTGTGATATTGTATGGCTCGGTGGACAGTGATTATTTTACAAGACTTAGTCGTAATATGATGATGTCTAGCCTAATTGACTCCACTATAGGCTACTCTAATTTCAGAAATTTTCGGTGCTCAATATTTTCGGTATGAGGGCAAAAGGCCAGGTTAGGTGAACAGAAATTTTCGGTGCAGGGAAGCTGTTTCCTATTGGATTACATGTGTTAGTGTTTGTTCGGTGTATTGAAATTTTAGGTATGAAGCAGATGTACCGAAAGTACCGAAAATAAAAGTGCACCGAAAATTTGTGAAACTACAGTATCCTTCAGTATAAGTCAGTAGCACCGGATGATGCCCAGTGGTGTTGAGTTATTGTGCGCACAATCCCCACGCCAAGGCCCAGCCTAGCCGACCACTGTGTCACCTTTCAGTGTCCGTGCATGGGACAGACCTCTTAAAAATGCTGTGCCAGCCCATGCAAATCCACAAATACCACTACCCGAGGAGACTCAGTAGTGATCATTAATAATAAATGGGTCACCTAGGTTAGTACTCAGTAGA